CATAGTGCCTGGCTTCTTAGGAAAAAAGGAAATTGGCAACCGAGATGATGAGTTGGCTCTAAAATAGCTACTGAATGTTCCAGAAACAAGTGGAAGGAGAATTCCTTTTGTGTCCAACGTGGGTTTCCTCGCAGCCTTTCACCTCCAGCCTCTCTGTTCCCGTACGGCCCCTCTCGCCTGCTGCCCCAGCCTGGGGCTGAGGCCCCTGTTCTCTCTGGGCCTTCTCAGTCTTATGTATGTTTCTTGGGAAATATACCTTGTCATAGAGCTCGGTCCTTGGCGAGGACTGAGTAGATATTAGTTTCTCTTCCTGAGAAACGGGAAGATGCGCGTGGAGTGAGGCAGTTTGTGTAAAAGTGCCCAGCATGGTGCTTGGTGTATGAGTGGTGCTCAGTGAATGAGAAACTCAATGTGAAGGGATGGAGCATAGGGCCTGCATGCAGTAGGTGCTTAATAAAGGAGCTAATGCATAGATAGGCACCTAGCCAGGACTCGATGGACAGGAGAGGGTTTGTGTGTGTGTGTGAGAAGCAGTCTCACTCTGTCACCCAGGCTGGAGTGCAGTGGCACAATCATAGCTCACCGCAGCCTTGGACTTCAGAATAGGTTTAATGTTTAAAATCATGCATGAACAGCCCATCACGGTTCCAGGGACGCACCAGGTGCTTGGTGGCCGAGATCACCCGCAGAGGCACCTGGCCCAGCTTGGGGTGTGGAGTTGTGGTTGGGATCCTCCTTCCATCCCACTTGCACCAAGCTAGGTGATCAGTGTTCTCATGATCTGCCACCTCCTCACTCTCATTCACCCTTTCAGGACCCACTGAGCACATCTCCTCCTCCAGGAAGCCCTCTCAGGTTGCTGTTGGGCCCTGTGATTTTGCCCTCCCCTCTGTCTCCAGAGCCATTAGGCATTTCATGCACAGCAGCCGATTGAGCACTTGCTACCGGCGGCTTTGTTAGTGTTCTCAGGCGGCTTCACCTGTGTTTATAGTGCTCCCAGATCAATGACAGGCTCTCCCAGGGCAAGACCCAGCCTCGCCTTTTAAATATTCTTCCCAAGCCCTGAGTCAGGGATCTGCATTTTGTAGGGGTCAGTAAGATGCCCACTAGCCTCTGCCTAACAACTTGGCCATCCTCCCCATTTTTCTTTTTCCTTTTGGTGACGTCTGAAGATTGAAAGAAGGCCAGGCGCAGTGGTTCACGCCTATAATCCCAGCACTTTAGGAGGCTGAGGCGGGCTGGTCAGGAGTTTAAGATCAGCCTGACCAACGTGCTGAAACCTCATCTCTACCAAAACACAAAAGTTAGCGGACGTAGTGGCATGTGCCTGTAATCCCAGCTACTTGAGAGGTTGAGGTGGGAGAATCACTCGAACCTGGGAGGCAGAGGTTGCAGTGAGCTGAGACCGCGCCACTGCACTGCAACCTGGGAAACAGAGTGAGACCCTGTCTCAAAAAAAAAAAAAAAAAGATTGAAAGAAGAACCCCCCTACTTTTCCCCAAATAGGAAAGCAACTCAGAAGATGCAGAAAGCACAGCGCGTGTTCATTGCGCTCTTGCCCTGGGCTGCCCAGCGTCACTGCTGTGCTTCTCTTCACATTTACCTTTCCAAAACAGCAACCACAAACTCTCCTTGCTTAGAATTCAGTTCTCCTGTGTGCAAATGAAAGCAAACCCACTCTGTCCCCAGAACATCTTTCGTGATGTTCCTCGCTGACTTATAACCACTGAACACTTTTTATTTAGCTCCAGAGGAAGAGACACATTGGAAACGACATTGTGGCCATCATCTTCCAAGAAGAAAACACACCGTTTGTCCCAGACATGATAGCCTCCAACTTCCTCCATGCCTACATTGTGGTGCAGGTTGAGGCCCCAGGCACAGAGACCCAATCCTACAAGGTAAGGGGAGAGCCGAGTTGGAGGAGGTGGTGGGCCCAGGGACCTCATCGTGTGTGGATTCCGTGATACCAGAGGACACTAGTCCCCAGCAGTCAGAGATTCTCTGTGAGTTCTCAGGTTTCTGGGATTCCAAGCTGGATTCTGGGTGGGGAGGACCTTCCGAGGCTGCCTGCTCCACCTTGTTGCCTCCAGGCTCCATGGCGTCTTACAGCTCCGGGTGTTGTATCTGGAATTTGATAATGTCATTTGCTAGATAGAGTAAGGCAGAGCTGAAACAAGGAAAGGAGAGTGTGGAAAGAACTAGCAGGAAAGGGCAGCGTTAGAAGGGTGGTAACAAAGGAAAGAAAGACAAAAATGCTTATGGTGAGGGTGGACAGGAGGGGCCTGGGAGACCACGGCCACTGGCTGAGCCCCTGGCCTGGCTGTTCTGGACAAGCGGTCGATCTCAATTTAAAGACCTCCAAGGAGGCAGATGTGCAGGCACCTGGGTCTAGACCTCCCAAGCAGTCACTGGTCTGTCAGATGGCTCGACACCCTCACCAGGCCGATGAGAGCGAGGCAGAGCAGCCCACTGCCCCTGCAGTCCCCACCTCCCCACTCCTTCAGGCTGGGTTGCTGACCGTCCCCTCCTCTGCTCCACAAGAAACAGTTTCGACCTCTTGGGTGACAGCCTCTTTGTATCATAGTGCTGTGGTGGGCACAGGACTCAAGGGAGATAGACCGAGGCAGGGTTTTCAAGGTGTGGGTGAGGCATCTGCGCCCCCCTTCAGATCTGTGCAAAATGCTGGATTTGTGCCCTTCCTTGGATTTCTGAAAAGAGAGGCTGTAGCTTGCATTCTGAAAGGGCTCCCTGCTCCGCAAAATATCAGGAACCATTGTTGTAAGGGAGAGGAAAGATGGGCCTGTGATTGCTGGTGGGAAACCATGAGGCCTGAGGATGTTTCCCTTAAAATGATTTCGGCCCACATTGATTCCCGGAGTTCATGATCCCACAGCATTTCAACTCAGGTCAGTGCAAAATTCACGCCAGCTTTTAAAACCAAATGTGAATCGTCGGAGAAAATAAAAAGAAGCTGGGCACGGTGACGTACACCTGTAACTCTAGTGCTTGGGAGGCAGAGGCAGGAGGATCGTTTGAGGCCAGAAGTTCAAGACCAGCCTGGACAACCTAGTGAGACCCTTTTTCTAAAAACAAAACACGCGGCAGAAACCAAATAGCAGCTCCCTCCGGTTGAGGCTGATTTCTTCATGCTCAGGCTTATGCTTCCCTGCCATTGAGCAATTTTAGCTGAAGTCGGAGGAGACCTGGTGTGGGCATTTCTTTTTTTTTTTTTTTTTTGAGATGGAGTCTCACTCTGTCACCCAGGCTGGAGTGCAGTGGTGCGGTCTCGGCAGTGAGCCGAGATTCAAGTGATTCTCCTGCCTCAGCCTCCCTAGTAGTTGGGATTACAGGCATGCGCCACCACACCCGGCTAATTTTTTTGTATTTTTAGTAGAGACAGGGTTTCGCCACATGGGCCAGGCTGGTCTCGAATTCCTGACCTCAATTGATCTGCTCATCTCAGCCTCCCAAACTGCTGGGATTACAGGTGTGAGCCACCACAGCCAGCCCATTTCTTGAAGGCTGTATGATCACTTGCTCTGAATGAAATAGGCATTCACTGCTTGATTCATGTGTTGGCGGAAGCACGTTGACTCAGTGCCTACTGTGTGCCAAGCACCATGCTGAAGTGGGGCTCGTAGAGGTAACAGAATCAGCCTCAGGGCCTTCCTGATGCCGGAGAAGGGACAGAAGAACCAGTGAGTGCAGGTCAGCCACTGGGCACCTCTGCTAGTCACCTGTTTCTTTTAATAGACAGTAGAAGAGGAGGAGCTACTGAGAAGGATCCTTGAAATGAAGCCATGTGATAGGAGTGCCCCAAACCCTCTGGCAGGATGAGGCCTCCTGCAGACATTTAGCGTTTGCTTCTCATTCCTAATAGGAAATGCGTCTCAGCTAACTGGCTTTTCCACTTTCCTGAGACCTTAGCCAAGTGGTGCACCCATACAGGGAAAGCTTGGAGATCCAAAAAAGCGCCACCCCACCTGCAGCTTTGCTGCTAGAAGGCTTTGCCCATTCTTCCTCTTCTTCTTCTTCTTTTTTTTTTTTCCAATATGGAGTCTTGCTCTGTCACCCAGACTGGAATACAGTGGCATGATCTTGGCTCACTGCAACCTCTCTGCCTCCTGAGTTCAAGCAATTCTCCTGCCTCAGCCTCCCAAGTAGCTGAGATTACAGGTGCCCGCCACCACACCTGGCTAATTTTTGTATTTTTAGTAGAGACAGGGTTTCACCATGTTGTTCAGGCTGGCCTTGAACTCCTGACCTCATGATCCACCCGCCTCAGTCTCCCAAAGTGCTGGGATTACAGGCATGAGCCACCGTGCCTGGCCTCAATTTTTGTATTTTTAGTAGAGACAGGGTTTCACTATGTTGTCCAGGTCAGTCTTGAGCTCCTGACCTCGTGATCTCCCCCCCATCAGTCTCCCAAAGTGCTGGGATTATAGGCATGAGCTATCGCACCCGCTGTCTTTACCCACTGTTCTAAGCCACAAAGCATAACATTGTCCTCAGAGGGGTGATGAGAAGCAGACAGGCAGGGCTCCTGGAAGGAGCAGGCTGTGGGACCTTGATCATGCACCACCGGCCAGGCAGACACTGAGGCTGGAAGGCAAGATGTGTGAATGGGGCCAGGGAGGGGTACCAGCCCTCCAAGGTACTCCCCAAAGCGCTGTCCATGCACACTCTCAGCAGCACCCCAGGTGATTAATAGACTGTGAGGAGGACCTGGTTAGATCCCCAGGGGGCCTGAGTGAAAGAGAACCTCAGCTGAGCCCTGTAGGCTCAGGGGCTAGGGCAGAGAAGGCTGAGATTTCCTCAGTGACCAAGCACACCCCAGGAGGTCTCCACTGGGGAGGGTGAGCAGAAGAAAGAAGAGTCAGGGAGGGCTGGGGCTGGGTATGTGCAGGAGGGCTCCTTTCTGTCCCCGGAGGGGCTGGGCAGTCTTGGGTTCTGGTCCTGGCCCTGCCTCTGCTGTGTGACCTCGTGGCAGTTCCTTCCCTCTCTGGGCCTCTGTTTTTGTCTGTGTGAAATGAGGAAGTTGGAGTAGACAACCTGTAGCTTCCCGCCCTGACATCCTGCGGGAGGGAGGAGGGGTGGTTGAGAGTGTGTGTGGTGGGCTGCCAGGTGGCTTGGGGGTACTCTGTACATTTCAGGAGCCCTTTACTGGGTGCAGGTCAGCAGGGGAAGTCAAAAGGGCACTGGGTGACAGTGGTAACCCCTCACCAGCTGCTTGCTCAGGCCAGGCACAGTGCTGGGTCCTTAGACACACAGTGTCGAATCCTGACAAGCTGCTGGTGAGACAGGACCCCTCGTTATCGGGAGGAAACAGAAGCTGAGAGCTGAACTCACTTAAGGCCTGAGGCCGCAGAGGCAGGGGCCATGGGACTGAGGTTCCTGTCTGGGTCTGCCTGTAGTCTTGGCCATTGAGCCATCAGAGTAGGCAGGAAGTTGGCTCCATGGACTCAGGCATGTAAGAAGCATCACACTGGATTATTTTTCAGAAATGAGCTTGTGAGATTGGAAGGAAAGTCCAGCTCAGTCATCACTAGGACTGCCCCCTTGCCCTCCCCGACCCTGTCCTGCCTCCCACTCCTGAAGTCCTCAAAGGTGTCAGGAGTCTCACGCCAGGGAGGGCCCTGTCTCTGTAGCCCTCCCCATTCCCGTCATGACTGGTCTGCTGCTTGGACAGGGCCCTGTGCACCACCACGGCTCCCAGGCCACCCTTGGGCCTGGGGCCTTTGTCAAGTTTTCAGCTTTCTGAGGTCCCCAGTGCATCCTCATGACTCACACCAAGCTCCTTCCTCCTTCCAGCTGTGAGGGCCCTTCCCCAGAGTCCCCTGCATCTGCCTCCCTCCCTCCAAGCCCTCTCCGGAGGCCCACGCTGAATTTAGAAGCAGGAAGGTGGGGTTGTGTTCAGGCAACTTCTGCTTTCAGCTGAGTGACCCAGATGTCCCAAGAGAGGGGAACAACGAAGGCTGGGCTGCCTGGTTGGAATTGGGGTCAGGAGAGGCACATAGTGAGGGTGGGAGGAGAATGCACGTCCCAAGGAAGGACCCTCTCCCCTGCAAGGCCCGCGGGGCTGCTGCTGTGGGACTGTCTGGCTGGAGCGTGCGCCTGAAGCCACTTAGCAGTCAGCACAGACCACTCTGATGCAGGCTGGAGAAGAAAGGGGGAGGAGGGGTGGGAAGGGAGAGCTGGGCCTGCCCCATGGCCTCCGTCCCAGGCGACTGCAGTCTGCAGCCTCCCCACACCCCCAGCCCTGATTCTGGCTCCAGGAGTGAGTTCTTGACTCGGGCGGCCGGTGCCTGGTGGATGGTCGGAGGGAACCAGACAGCCTCGAGCTCAGGAAGAGGAAGCCCGTATTGACCAGCGCTCTCCCGCTCCATCTCCCCTCCAGACTCTGGCAGGGCCTTTCCTTGGCTTGGTGCCCAGCTGCCTGCTCGCCTTGCCTGGCAGACTCTGCATCTGCCCCACTTCACAGGCCTGGGAGGCTGGCAGCATGCCAGGGCCGGGCTCACATCAGCAGCCGCTCAGGGAAGGGAGGGCAGTCTCCTGAGAGCCCCACAGCCTCATGGGCTGAGGACAGGTGAAATCAGGGCACGTCCGTGCAGAGGGAAGGTGGAGGCTGGGGCCCGTCCCACACCTGGGAGATCCCCATGCGGAGAACCTGGATGCCGTCACTCCAACGTTCAGGCTCGCTCAGGCTGCCAGAGGTGGGAACTCCACCTTCAATTCCTAGCCTGGGCTGCAGACTGGCTGACGCTGTGCGTACGGCCATGGCTCCCAAACATGGGTCCATGGGCTGCACGAGAGTTTCTAGGGGCCTGCACCTTCAATTCAGCAGGGTTAGGACGAAGCCCACAAACCCAGTATTTATTGTTTGAACACTTGAAGCAATTCTGCAGCTATTCTGATTCATGGCTGAGTATAGGAGTCAGGCTTGGGAAGAGAACCCCAGAGCCAGGTGGGGAGAGGCCTGATGCTCCGTTCCTCTTGTGGCTAATCACCTGTGTGACACGGAGACCTCTGTGTGTCTCTGGGTGTCTGTTTCCTCATCACGGAGCAGCAGTTCCCCTTGTGCCTTCTCGGTAGGATTGGCACGGCGGTGGAACGAGGCCATGAGATAGCATCTTGTGGGCACCTGTGCTGCATTGTAACTAGGCTCCCAGCCCTGTCCAGTGTTCTGGCCAAACCTGTTTCTGGCCTCTAGGAATGCAGAGGAGAGGCTGTGAGTGGCTTCGCCCCGTCTGGCCCCCTTCTAGGAACAGTGGCTGGGGCCTGAGCCGGAGTTGCTCACAGGAGAATTTCCTTTGTACTCGGGGAGGGGGAGGAGGAGGTGAGTGGCTTTGCTGTGAGAAGTGTGGCTCCCTGGGGCCAGCGCTCACCTCCTCCCTCCAGGTCATGCCGTGACTCTGTTTCATTCAGGTCTCTGTCACTGCACGGGAAGATGTGCCCACCTTTGGCCCACCTCTGCCGAGCCCCCCTGTTTTCCAGAAGGTAGGATGCTCTTCCTTCTGCTCCATTCACATCTGCGACACCAGGTCCCAGGGCTTGAGTGGCAGGTTGGGATGGGGCCGAGGTCAGGTTGGAAACAGGGAGATCCTTTTGCAGGTTTGGGAGGACCCTCCTTTCTTGGGGTCTCTCCCCACCTCTTTGACGCTGCCATTCTGGCCCAGCATAGGACCACTGGTTGGGTTATTTGACACTGAGGTTGCCTTTCTGCTAAAAGAAGGGTTTTTATGTCAAGCCCTGGTCACAGGAGCCTTGGGCAGGAATGATCTCCAGTCACAGGGGTGCCACTGAGGCTTCCCAGGACCACGGACACGGGTTTCCATGTTGGCATATTAGCAAGTGGGCTTGTCCTGGGCTAGAAATGACCGGCTGCCAGAAGGGACCTTTCGGGGCTCTTCCCATGCCCCTGGCTCTGCCTGCCTGTCCCTGTGGCTGAAGGTCTTCAGCAGCCGAGAGTGGGAGACCTGAGGGCCGTCTTGTCTGTTCCAGGGCCCAGAGTTCAGGGAGTTTCTGCTCACCAAGCTCACCAATGCCGAGAATGCCTGCTGCAAGTCGGACAAGTTTGCAAAGCTGGAGGTGAGACTGCGGGCTCCAGAAGGTCTCCTCCCGCCCGCTGGGCCTCCTGTTAGCCTCATCCGGGGATCCCCCATCCTCTTTTTGAGACGGAGTCTTGCTCTGTCGCCAGGCTGGAGTGCAGTGGCGTGATCTCAGCTTACTGCAACCTCCGCCTCCTGGGTTCCAGCCATTCTTTGCCTCAGCCTCCTGAGTAGCTGGGATTATAGGTGTGCGCCATCACGCCTGGCTAATTTTTGTAGGTTTTTGTTTTTGAGATGGAGTCTCGCTTTGTTGCCCAGCCTAGAGTGCGGTGGTGTGGCTCACTGCAATCTCCGCCTCCTGGGTTCAAGCAATTCTCTTGCCTCAGCCTTTAGACTGGCTGGGACTACAGGTGCATGCCGCCATGCCCGGCTAATTTTTTGTATTTTTAGTAGAGATGTTTTAGTAGGATTTTACCATGTTGCCCAGGCTGGTTGTGAACTCCTGAGCTCAGGCAGTCCACCTGCCTCAGCTTCCCAAAGTGCTGGGATCACAGGCGTGAGCCACCATGCCCAGCCTGATTTTTGTATTGTTAGTAGAGATGGGGCTTCTCTATGTTGGCCCGGCTGGTCTTGAATTCCTGATCTCAGGTGACCTGCCTGCCTCAGCCTCCCAAAGTGCTGGGATTATAGGTGTGAGCCACTGTGCCCAGCCAATTAGTCATTTTTAAAGCTCCTACTATATGTCAGGCCCTGTCCTATTCCCTAGGATATGGGGATGAGTGAGACAGCTTCTGTCCCTGTAGAGCGCACAGGATGGTGGGAGGGGTCATTACTAATAGACAGTTATAGTACACTGTGCCAGTGCTAGGCTGGGATGGAGGTCAGCATAGCTCAAATAGTGACTGCTTCTGCCTGTGGGGGGTTGAGGGTGTGTTCAGGGAAGGCTTCTTGGAGGAGGGGGCCCATGAGCAGCTGAATCTTGATATTGGATGAACCTTCTGCCTGGAGGAAAGACTGGGGAAGGGAGGGCTGACCTGGCATGGGAAACAGCATGAGAAAAGGCCAAGAAAAACCAGAGACTGACTTCCTGAGGGAGCTCCTGAGGGTTTGCTGTGGCCTAAGGACTCACAGGGGCTGGCATGGTGGGAGACGCAGCCGGAGATGTTGGTTGGATCAGATCCAGAAGGGCTTAGAGCTGGAGGGGGTCGGCTGCTAGCAAAGTGCTTAGGCAGGAGAGTGAGGGTTCGACGTCTATGCCAGAGGGGTCGTCTGTCACTGAGAGTGATGGTGGTGACAGGGCAAGAGGGGCAGGAAGGCGGCCAGTTAGAAGGCATTTACCAGGAACCCAGGAGAGATGACAGAGGCTTCTGTCGTATGGGAGGAAATGGTTCCGGTCGGGATTGGGAAGACTTGGTGGACTCCTGGCTGTAAGCGCTGGGGGAGGTTGTAGGGTGACTCTTAGGCCTTCGGCCTGGCCTCTTTGATGACACGGTGGCCGAGTCGTGCCTGTGAAGGCCGGTTGCTGAAAGGGCCAGTCCTCGTCTGTGTGAATGGCAGCCCCTGGCTTCCACGTGCGTGGTTCGTCCAGACGGAGAGGAGCAGTGGGCAGTTGGGTGCGTGGATGTGGAGCTGGGGCAGAGGCCGAGCTGGGACTCACTCTTCCTTCTGCTCCTCTGCTGCCGAGGTGGAGCTGTGGCGGTGGTGGGAAGACCTGGGGAGAGGGCCACGGGGAGTGGAGCTGTGGCGGTGGTGGGAAGACCTGGGGAGAGGGCCACGGGGAGTCGAGCGGGGGCCGGGCTCGTAGCCTTCTTCTCAGCTATAGCGTTTGTGAGCATGAAGCCAGCCCAGCTGTAGGTCCACGCCGTGGCTGGGCTGGGTGGAATGCCAGTCCCTAGGCCAGGTGTCTGGAGCTCACGAGGAGAGGGCACATTTCGGCTCTCAGAGCCCGCTTCCCCGTCCCCACCCTCTTCCCTTCTAGGACCGGACCAGGGCTGCCCTCCTGGACAACCTTCACGATGAGCTCCACGGCCACACGCAGGCCATGCTGGGACTGGGCCCAGAGGAGGACAAGTTTGAGAATGGAGGCCACGGGGGATTCCTGGAGTCTTTTAAGGTACGGGCATAAGAGTGACTGACGGTGGCTGTGGCGGGGGTGTGGGGGCAAAGAAAGGAAATGGTCCAAGGTCCACGGGATGCCGACCCCAGAGCCCAAGGGCCAGCTAGAGGGGTGACCGGAAATGCAGGGGATCCCAGGTGTTTGCGAAGGGCGGGGCCATCAGGAAGTGTGTGAGTCTGGAACAGCCAACAGCGTCTTCAGCACCTTCTCCATCCTCCCTTCATCTGGGTCATCTCCTCCAGGCCCAGGAGTCTGATCGGCTGGGACAGGTAGAGAGGAGCCAGGGCCACCTCCTGGGTCGGGGAGCCCAGGGCAGAGCGGCAGGGGCAAGGAGCACAGGCCTTAGGGCTCTTCTGGAGCTGGTGAGTGCCGCAGACTCTTCCCAGCTAGCTGGCTGAGCACTGGAAGACCTGGCGGGGCAGAGGGCATAGAACTATAGGCAGGTCCCTGTGGACTTTGCCAGAGGAAAACTCTAGAACCAGCTGCTAGAGGAAGCAGTGAGCTCCCTGTCCCTGGAGGTATTCAAGTGGCGCTCCGCCAGCCCCCGGGCTGGCATGGGGTAGAGAAGGTTTTTCATCTTGTGCTTGCTGAACGTTTGCTGGTCCACATGGCACTTAGATCCAGCATGTGGTTTAAGCCTGGCCATAGCTTGTGCGGGTGGCAGAACGGGTCTTGTTATTTTCACTAACACACGTGGGCAGGGTGAGAGACACCACAGGACTGGCCAGGTCCTCACGGTGACGCAGAGGGAGAGCCTCCTTTCCAATGCAGGCCTTCTGAGTCTTCGATCAGTGTTCTGCTGGACGGCTTGTTAGAGGGTGATTTGGAAAGCTCCCATTGGGGGCCTCATGTGCAGGCGAGGGCTGCACCCACCTAGATTAAAATCCCAGCTCTGTGGGGTCCTGGCTGCTGTCTTTAAAGGCTCTTAAGGTTCATCTTTCTTGTCAACAGCATAAGGATAAGAAGCGGGACCCTGTCATAGAGCCAGCGTGAGTTCAGGGTCTGATGCCTGCAAAGGTCCATATTGCCTGAAATGCAGTCAGGCTCAGAAGTGTGGGCTGTCATTATGCGTGTAAAGTGAACGCCTCACACCCATTATCCCACCTGAAGACTCACAGCTGCCCTCCGTGCCATGAGGAAGGCTGTTATTTTGGGTATAATGACTTTGGTGTAATAATTCATACTCAGTTTTAATAATTACGGGCATAGTATTCCATGTGAGGAAAGCAAGCCTCAAAGACACAGAATAACTGTCCGGTCACGGAGCAGGTGGAGTTGAATCCAGGTCTGCCGGATTCCAAAGCCTGTGCTTTCAGTGGCTGTGTGTTGCCACCCCCCACCTCTGACTCCGTTAAGACTCCACCCATGCTAGCCTGGGCCTGGGCAGGCCTGGGTCAGGCCCCGCAGAGAGCAGGGCACAGCTCCTCTGGCCCTAGTTGGGGCCAGCTGCCGATTCCTCTTGTGGGTGGGAAAAGGAGCCAAGCTGCTTGTCCAGGCTGGTGGGAGATTCCTGGGGCACCTGTTTTAGTGGTGATGGGCAGAGGGAGTTGGGGGCAATAGGGGAAATTGGGAGATCAAGACAGAGGAGGGCCGAGGAAGAAGAGGAACAGGGGAACACTGCGGGGGCCCGGTGGGACAGCCCAGCGAGAGAGGGTGAATGTGAGATGCGGTAAATGGGAAAACCGGCTTGGGTCTGGGGAAGGCAGGAAGGGGCCAGTCAGGCCTTTCACAGACTCTTGACTCTCCCTTCCGGAGTCCACCGCGCTCCGTGGCCTGCGTATCAAAACGTTCCGCATCCCTCAGGAAACGTAATTGATGTAGAACTGTCAGAGATGAGCGGCAGTTGGCGAGCCAACACGATGTTGTATTTTGTAGACATTTAATGAGGTGCTTGCTTTGAGGTTTTCAGGTTTCTTTCAGTATTTTGGGGTTAACAATTGGTTTTTCAGGTTTCAAGTATTTCTGTATCCTGCATCTGCTCGCGGGCCGTGGACACTCTGCCCATGGCGCCCCGTGGAGAAGGCGGTCCAGCACCTAAACACGGGTGGCAGGTTTAAGGAGTGTGGCCTGAGGCTGGTCTGTCCAGTCCCCGCCTCTGGAGGAGTCGCACTTGATCTGTGTTTGACTCCAGGGGTTCTGACGTGTTCCTAGTGGGGTTTACAAGAGAGGAGATGCTCTAAGACTTCATCACGGCTCATCTTTGATCCAGTGATCCAGGGAATCCTTTTCAACCCTAAATCTCTGCAATGGTAGGTTGAAGACGGACCTGCTTCTGCATTCTGCTTTCACACCTACCTGAGGTAGCACCGTGGGGCAGAGGAGGGACTGTCACAGTCACACAGAGTCAGCTCGGAGTCCCGATGGTTGTGATCAGATTTTTTTTTTTTTTTTTTTTTTTTTTGATGACAGGGTCTCGTTCTGTTGCCCAGGCTGGAGTGCAGTGGCATGATCTTGGCTCACTGCAGCCTCCACCTCCCAGGTTCAAGCAATTCTCCTACCTCAGCCTCCTGAGTAGCTGGGATTACAGGTGCCCTCAACCATGCCTGGCTAATTTTTGCATTTTTAATAGAGACAGGGTTTTACCATGTTGGCCAGGCTGGTCTTGAACGCCTGACCTCATGTGATCTGGCCGCCTGGGCCTCCCAAAGTGCTGGGATTATAGGCATGAGCCACCGGCCCAGCCATTTGTGGCCAGCTTTTTTCCCTCCCAGCTGGGGAACACGAGCTCCTGTTCCCTGTCCCTTTCATCAGTACCCCACATCTCCCAAGTGTGGAGGCCTGAGCTGGGGGTGGGGCATGCCCAGCCACATGGAGGCCTGGGGCCTGGGGTAGATTCTGATTTTAGGCCCTGCCTGTGGCCAGGCCCACGTGTCCGGCCCCACTCAGGAAACCATCTCTAGTTTTGGCATTTTTTCCTGGGCACCTTGGGTGGTGCTGCTGTATCAGCAGGACACTGCTTGTGGAGTTCACCCACACCTTCCTGGGATCCTTCTTGAAAGTAGTGATACCTGAAATGATTCCAGAAAGAAAATTGGATGCTTTTATCTCCTCCTGACAAAGTTCTTTTTCTTAAAAAATTTTTTTGAGATAGAGTTTCGCTTTTGTCACCCAGGCCTAGGCTGGAGTGCAGTGGCACGATCTCAGCTCACCGCAACCTCTGCCTCATGGGCTCAAGCGGTTCTCCTGCCTCAGCCTCCCAAGTAGCTGGGATTACAGGTGCCCACCACCATGCCCAGCTAATTTTTGTGCTTTTAGTAGAGATGGGGTTTCATGATGTTGGCCAGGCTGGTCTCAAACTCGTAACTTCAGGGATCTGCCCACCTTGGCCTCCCAAAGTGTTGGGATTACAGGCGTGAGCCACCGTGCCCAGCCTCCTTCCTGTCAAAGTTCTCATCTCCCAGGCCGATGGGAATGTAACTGGGAATCCCTAGGGCTGAAAGCCATCTCAGCCATCCATCCTTGCCTCTTGTGGGGCTGTTCTTCCCCCACTTCAGCGCTGACCCTTGGTCTTTCTCCCAAGAAGCAGAGCCACCGTTGCCCTGTGCTGTGCCACCTGGCACCTCACACCCCTTAGAGCGGCTCCTCACAGCTCCCTTTCGTTCTCCTGGCTGCAATGGAAGTTTTTCTCCCAGGAGACACTCAGCAGTTGGCTTTTGGACATCTAGACCTACTTTTTAAACTGAGCTGCTTGGAGATATTGTCAGCAATCTGCTAGTCCTGCAAACACTTCTAAAGTTTGCATTTTCACTTAGACCTGAAAAAAAAGTCCAGTTATAAAGAGTAGATGTTTGCAGTGATCACTCCAATGAAAAGCTATTCCTGTGGGATAAACACGTAGGGCCTGACGTCGGCACTGCAGGTGCCGTCTGGGGGACCCCTGGGGTGGGCGGTCTGTAAGCACATTCTCGGGAGTCCGGCGAGAACATTTTTCACGATAAAGGAGCTGTACATGGTTCACCTGTGAAAGATGTTGATCTCTAGACTGTTCTCAAATGCCATTCTCAGTCGCCGCCAGCTGTCGATGAGGATTCTATTGGTCTGTAATGCAGTGGAAAGTGACAGTGCCTGCTGTACCAACATGGCATGGCATAGAGCACATGCGTGCCACGTCGTGAGAAACGCTGAGCTCCCCCAGTCCTCCGCTGACCTCCTCATGCAGAGTGGGAGCAGAGGACCAGGGAGGAGAGGGCTGCCGGGCTGGCTGTGACGGAGCCGGGGCCTTGGCAAGCAGGGAGCTGCTGGGTTCATTTCTCCCAGCCTTTAGTGACTGTGATAGTTGATGCATTGGTCTGACCTGACCCCTAGTGGCAGGAGAGGCTGCAGCGATCCCTGGCTGTCTTTGGCCCCACTGTACCTGCAGGGAGGCGTCTGTAGTCAGGTCTCCCTAGCAGTGCCAGTGATGGTGGGTGGAGCCCAGCAAGGCCCCCTGCAGAATCCTTGGTCTTTGGCATCTTTGCCCCTCCCTTTCCTCCTGACAGGGAGTTGCGATGTCAGGGTGGCCCCCTGTTTTGGGAGTCCACAAGAGCACCCAGGCCTTGCGCTTGGCCCCACTCCACTCCTGGGTTGGAGCCATGGTCTCCTGGAGCAGAGTTGGCCTCTGTCCTGCATTTGCCACCCTGGAGGGACAGAGTGCTGACTCCTCACACTTACCCAGCCCGTTGTCTCCTCATTATCTCGCCGACTCCGGCGGCTGCACCAGGGCTATTTGAGGAGCCAGTGTCCTCCCTGACGCCAGCCTCTGAGATTTTCATTTTTTGGTGGGGGCCTTGAAAATTCTTGAGTTCTTTTTTTTTTTTCTGGGGAGATAGAGTTTCACTCTTGTCTCCCAGGCTGGAGTGCAATGGCACGATCTTGGCTCACTGCAACCTCTGCCTCCTGGGTTCAAGTGATTTTCCTGCCTCAGCCTCCTGAGTAGCTGGGATTACAGCCATGCACTACCATGCCCAGCTAATTTTGTATTTTTCGTAGAGACAGGGTTTCTCCATGTTGGCCAGGCTGGTCTCGAACTCCTGACCTGAGGTGATCTGCCTGTCTTGGCCTCCCAAAGTGCTGAGATTATAGGTGTGAGCCACCGTGCCTGGCTACCTCTGAGATTTTTTTTTTTTTTTTTTTTTTTTGTGGGGGCTTTGAAAATTCTTGGTTTCTAGTTATCCTTAGGTCATCCACCAGTTGAATTGTGTTTTCAATCTGGACCATTTTTGAGTATATAGGGACCCTTTGATCTGAGCCCAGGGTCCTGGGTTTGGATCCTGGGTCCATCTCTTAACTGCTATGTGGCCTTTCAAAAGCTTTTCTGTCCAATGCCTGTCCTCTCTGCATCTCAGAGTTGTAGAAATTCAAAAGAGCATGTATGCGAAGCTTACTAGCCCAGATACTATTCCACAGGAGTGATTCTATCCCACATGGATTCCTTTCTGGGAAAGAGACAGGGAGGAACACAATCACGTGTTGCCCGGCGACGGGAATACGTTCTGAGAAGTGCGTCCTTGGCGTTTGGTCATCATGTGAACAGCAGGGTGTACGCAGACCTGGATGGTCCAGCCTGCTACACACACTGGAGAGAGCCGGTGGTCGCCGGGCTACTGCTCTGTGCCATAGGTTCCCGTGTGAATATTGTAGGCATTTGTAACACAAAGACAGGCGTTTGTGTATCTGGACTTCTAAATACAGAAAAGTGGTACAGTAAAAACACAGTGCTAGAATCTGAATAGGAACAGTGTCGTATGTGTGGTCTGCTGTTGACTGCAGTGTCATGGTGTGGCATCTGGCTGTGTATCAGAAGGTCCGTGATTAGTTTGAAATGTCATTGATGATGGTGGTGGCAACACACAAGGGCACCAAGAGAATGTAAAGATGCTGAGTTTTTTTTTTTTTAAAGATAGATTCTCATTCTGTCGCCTAGGCTGGAGTGCAGTGGTGAAACCTGGGCTCACCACAACCTTCGCCTCCCGGGTTCAAGCAATTCTCCTGCCGCAGCTTCCCGAGTAGCTGGGACTACAGGCATATACCACTATGCCCAGCTAATTTTTATATTTTTTAGTAGAGATGGGGTTTTACCATGTTGGCCAGGCTGGTCTCAAACCCCTGACCTCAGGTGATCCACCTGCCTCGGCCTCCCAAAGTGCTGGGATTACAGGTGTGAGCCACCGCGCCCGGCTAATGGGCGATTGGTGCTCCATAAATGCTGAGATTTATGGAGCACTTAACTTGTTCAAGGAACCTTGCCACGGCCAGACATGGTGGCTCACACCTGTAATCAGTCCTAGCACTTTGGGAGGCCAAGGCAGGAGGATGACTGGAGCTCAGGAGTTTGAGACCAGCCTGGGCAACACAGGGAGACCCTGTTGCTTTTTATTTATTTATTTTAAAAAAGGAAGCTCACTGCTCCTCCAAGGACATCTCAGTGTGCCACCACCGCTGTCCTGCCCTCTGTTGTTCAAAGGGCACGTGGCTTTATGATGCTTGCGTTACGGGGTGAAGAGAATGTGCTGACTGCTTTAGCCGTGTGGCAGGAAACCGTTGCTAGGAGACTCTGTTCTGGGGTCTAGGGAGGGAGTGACAGATGATGTCCCTCAAGGGGCGTCTTTGGCTCATATAAGAGGCCCGATCAAATCAGGGCTGTGAAGCTGGTGGGTTCTGCACCTCAATGTCAGAAGCTCATCTGGGGGCTGTCAGGTTTACAAATGGCCTTACTGAGTCTGCGTCCCTTGTCAGGAGAGAAAAGCAGGCGGGATGGGGTTCTCTGCCCTTCCCAGACCTGGAGAAGCCCTGGCTCGAGAGGCCCTGGGGAGACCTGCTGTTTGGATTAGGAGCAGCAGGCCTGGTGTTTTCTTCTGACCACTTTGCTGCAGACCGAGCTCTTCTTAAGATGCTTCAAAAGGGGAAAGGAGGTGTTCTTCCACATGAGACCACCTGTGGTTACACATGGGGTGTGTGAGAGAAAACATTTGTATGTGCATGGGTGTGAATACAGAGGGGAAGGGAGCGTGGCCCATGCCTTCATCCTTCTGCACAGCTTTCTGAAGCTGGAGTTCTGAGAGTACCCTCCCTCAACAAGCTTGCACTATGATAAGGAAGTCCATGAGTTCGTGTACAAGTTCTGAGAGCACCCCCACCCGACCAGCTCACACCACGATAAGGAAGTCCATGAGCTCCTGTACAAGTTCTGAGAGCACCCCCACCCGACCAGCTCACAGTAGGATAAGGAAGTCCATGAGCTCCTGTACAAGTTCTGAGAGCACCCCACCCGACCAGCTCACAGTAGGATAAGGAAGTCCATGGGCTCCTGTACAAGGAGGCGCAGCTGACTTGTGGCTGAGTCGGCAGCTGTCCCTAGCTTGTCAGCTTTGTCCCCAGGCTCGGCCCCTCATTGTCCTGGTTTTACTGCCGACATGTGAAATCTCTTGGGAATCATTGAGAAAACCTTTCCCCAAAGCCCCCCACAGCTGTTCTCTCCTGTGCTACTGGCAAGAGGTTAGGTTAACCAACTGCCTTGGGCTGCTCGTGACTGAATCCTGCATCCCACAGAGGAGGAGGAGGAGGAGGAGGAGGAGGAGGAGGAGACGTTCGGCCAGACTCTGGCTCTGCCAGCGGGAAGCTCAGGGAGCAGAGGGGTTGGTACTTGTATGTGAGCAATGGATAATATTCGGGTCTGGGAGTCTTTGCCCTTGGGGAAGCCAGGACACCTAATTAACACAGAAGAAGCACCCATCGGCATTGCCCCAGTGATAGGAATTCCTTGGAGGCAGGGGCTGCGTCCTGCACTTCTTGACCTTACTGCTGTGGCACTCCAGTTCCTGGCACAGTGCTAGGCATCTGGGAAGCCTGCAACGGTGCTTTTTTTTTTTTTTTTTTGAGACAGAGTCTTACTTTGTCATCAGGCTGGAGGACAGTGGTGAGATCTTGGCTCACTGCAACCTCTGCCTCCTACGTTCAAGTAATTCTCCTGCCTCAGCCTCCTGAGTAGCTGGGACTACAGGCACACACCACCATGCCTGGCTAGTTTTTTGTATTCTAGTAGAGATGGGGTTTCACCATGTTGGCCAGGATGGTCTCGATCTCCTGACCTCAGGTGATCTGCCCACCTCGGCTTCCTAAGTGGTGGGATTACAGGCATGAGCCACCGTGCCTGTGTGCTTGTTATTACCAGTAAGAGTAGCCACATGTATTGGATAGTTGCGATGTTCTGGGCGCTGTCCTCAGAGCTTTGTGTGTATTCTCACAACAACCCCCTGGTGTAGACACCCACAGCTCTTTCCCTGGTAAGTCTCAGAGAAGCTCGGTAACCTAACCGGGCATACTCAGCCAGTGGGTGCTGGAGTAGAGAGCCCAGATACAAATCCTGGCCGTGAAATGCTAAAGCCTCCGTGCTTCTAAGTTTCATTGCCGCCTGGTCAGATCGAGTGACTGGTTGAATGACTGGTTTGGGGGTTACCTTCTCTCCCTAGAAATCTCACATCATCTTTGAGGGCCTTTGGAGCCAGAGAGAGCATCATCCAGGGGGCAACCAGAAGCTCTTAGGACTTCCTTGTGAGGAAATCCTCCCTGAGGTTACGCTGAGCCCTGCTCCACTGTAACACTCCCCTTCCCATCCAGAGCGGTCTGAGAGTGTTGTCACTTCCCGGGTCCACCCCTTCCGTGCCTCCATAATCTTGTTTTTTAGCTGCTCTTCTCACTCTCACACACACTTTGACGAAGCCCTGACCGCCCTGGTGGCCCTCTCCTGGGGACTTCACCATTTGCCAATGTGGCCTTGCTCCTGGGTGGCCTGAGCAGCTCCGGGCCCCCGAGACCCTGCACTTCTGCCAGGCTGAGGTGCCTCTACTCTTGTGGTGGCTGTGTCAAACTGTGGGGCTGTAACGAAGGCGTGCCTGACGCCCCTGCAAGTGGGAGGGGTGGCTCAGTGCCTGGCTTGATGCACAGATGAGTACGGGACCCTCACGCGCTTTCACCAACGGCCAGCGTGTTCCAAGTTGCACCAATCACACTTTGGGATATAATCCAGTGCATATTATAGATGGAGGCTCAGTTTTCTGGAAAAGAGTCACCTTGTGGTCAGGCACCTGGGTCTGTTGAATCCCCACCACGATCCTCATGAAGCACAGAATTCCCATTTGACAGATGAGGAAACTGTGGCTTGGAGAGGCTGGGAGCTAGGCCAGTGTCGTACAGGTTGGTTGAGCTCCAAGCCTCATTTTCCTGACCTGTAAGATGAAGATAACCTTTGTCCACCCTGCAGGGGAGCTGGGGCACTGACCCCTCAGATTCCCTCCAGCCAGGGCTGTGCCTTGCCTCTAGCCGGGCCCAGAGCGTGGGGCAGAATGTGGGAACGTCCTCTGTAAGCTGGAGTAGCTGTAGTATGGGCCTCTGTGACCGTGTGTGTGTGTGTGTGTGTGTACACGCGTGTGCATACACGTGCTGACGGCTGTGTCTACAGACTCCAGGAAGAGGGCAGGGTCATCCAGAGAGCCCAGATGCTGATTTCCAGGCCCCCGTTCTCTCCGTAGAGGGCCATCCGTGTGCGCAGCCACTCCATGGAGACCATGGTGGGCGGCCAGAAGAAGTCGCATGGCGGAGGCATCCCCGGCAGCCTCAGCGGCGGCATATCCCACAACAGCATGGAGGTCACCAAGACCACCTTCTCGGTGAGTGGCCCTGGGGCAGCAGGTGGGTCCCAGGGAGGCCCCCCGAGACCTATGGAGGAAGGGTGCCCCACCCAGGTGTGGGCAGGCGACTTGATCAGGGCAAGCTGGATGATGGAGGGAAACTGAGGCTGCTAGGGGGTGACTCTGGGTCCTGACCTCTGAAAATGGTCCTTTGGTGCCTCCATCCTAGACAGCACCTGGGGCTGGCCGCATTGGCCTGAGAAGCCCTCCTGTCCCATGTGCTGAGTTTCCTTGACAGCTGGACGACTCTTCAGGGCCAGCCCTGCAAAAATGGTCCTGAGGTGTGTTTCGCTACGCAGGGCCTTGGGACCCGTGACTGTGAGGGGGTGCCCTTGCTTTGTTATTACTGGTGCCAGCAGTAGCTGCCCCAGCTTACTGTGCACCAGGCACTGAGCTGAGTGACCCGTGGACGCGATCTCACCTGCTTCCCATGACAGCTGTCCGAGGCAGGTACTGATGTGTCCTTCTGTTCCCATTTGGGGAAAAGGAGGCCCGGTGGGGTTAAGTAACTTGCTAGAGGCCACTCAGCTCAGCTGAAGAGCTGGGATTTCAGTGCAGATCTGCTGGATCCAAAGTCTATGCTCTTCATCACCATGTGCACAGTTCCTGAGGAAAGAGGGTCCTGTAGGCCTGTGAGTTTGAGCCCAATGGACTTGCACCAGGGGCTTGTGGGGTTGGAGGGGATCACGTAGTTGGGTCTTTCATAAAGCAATGTGGGCCGGGCGCAGTGGCTCACACCTGAAATCCCGGTACTTTTGGAGGCTGAGGAGAGCGGATCCCTTGAGTCCAGAAATTCGAGACCAGGCAACAAAGTGAGACCCTGTGTCTACAAAACAGCACAAGAATTAGCTGAGCACGGTGTCACACACCTGTAGTCTTAGCGACTTGGGAGGCTGAGGTGGGAGGATCATCTCTACCTAGGGAGGTTGAGGCTCTAGTGAGCTGTGATTGGGCCACTGCACTCCAGCTTGGGTGTCAGAGCGAGACCCTGTCTCAAAAACTAACTAAAGCAAAGTGGCTTTGGATTTGTATAGACTGGGATTTTCCTTTCTTCTTTTTCTTCAAAACAGCAGAACCTACTCAGCATGGTACTAATTATGAGTATTATAAATGGCCTTGCATAATTAATTTAGTAAATATTTTCCTAGCTATTATGCTGTTACCCCTGAGGGTGTGTGGAGTGAGCAGAGCAGGCCCCCCCCTCCATGCTGTGTATCGGGAGACTCGGGAGGCTCGGGAGACTCGGGCCGGGTCTCACCACTCTCCTGAGGTTGCATACCATGTACATGGCAGGAGCTGGGGCCTGGGTTGGCGGCTTGGTGGCCTCTGAAGATTGGTTCCGGGCTCCTGTCTGCCTTCTTCAAGCTCCCACCACACCTTGTCCGCTGTGAGGCCGGGGGAAACTCTAGAGCAGAAGCTGTCTGGCCGTCCCTGGCTGCCTGCCAGTGCCTGTGGACCCGGCCTCACGGCTCTCAGTCTCATTGTGACACCTGCTGGGCCCCGTTTGTTGTGAGGAATGAAGGAGAGTCAGGACGCCTCACCTGCCAGTGATTTGCTGGATGACCTTGATGCAATCTCACTCTTTGGTTTTCAGCCTCCTCACCGGTAAAATGAGAGGTTGAACCAGGTCCCTCCAGGGTTTCCCTGGCTCTGTGCCTCTTAGTCTGTATCCCCCGGAATTGTTCTGACCTTCTTAGTGTCTAGGGCTCCCCCACCCCGTGTTCCTCCAAAGTTGTGGGTTTTTTTTTTTTTTTTTGAGACAAGGTCTTTTTTTGCCCAGGCTGGAGTGCAATGGTGTGATCTCAGCTCACTGCAACGTCTGCCTCCTGGGTTCAATTGATTCTCCTGCCTCAGCCTCCTGAGTAGCTGGGATCACAGGCACCTGCTACCACACCCAGTTAATTTTTGTATTTTTAGTAGAGACAGGGTTTCGCCATGTTAGCCAGGCTGGTCTCAAACTCCTGACCTCGTGATCCACCCGCCTCGGCCTCCTAAAGTGCTGGGATGACAGGCGTGAGCCACAGTGCTTGCCAGTTGTGGTCTTTGGGGGATCATTACCTGGGGCCACAAGGTTTGGCTTCACACAGGGAAAGAGGCTGTCACTAGCCTGAGTCTTGAGGTCTCAGTTCCAATTATATAGATCTCAGCCTTCCTAGCTGTCCTGCTATTTTCTGGGGTCTCCTCCAGAGCAGGAGCCATTTGTAGACCAGGGAGGGGGATGAAGGGATAGATCGGTGTTCGGGCCGGGAGCACTCATTTTGGCAATTTCATCGGCAGCCTCCAGTGGTGGCGGCAACGGCGAAGAACCAGTCACGGAGTCCCATCAAGCGGCGGTCGGGGCTCTTCCCCCGCCTGCATACGGGCTCAGAAGGCCAGGGGGACAGCCGGGCACGATGGTAACTGTTGGGAAACCCCTACTCCAGCCTGAATCATGGGGTCTGTCAACCCTCTCCACTGTACAGTGTTCAGTGCCCAACCTTGGGGGAGGAGCTTTGCCCAGATGGCCCTGACTTCAGGCACCTGCGTGTCCCCTGTCACTCACTCAGCTCTTTACCCAGAGGCTGATGGGGCCAGTCTCCGCTTGGGGCTTTCCAGAGTTACCCTTGCAGCATTTTGACCCAGGCTAGAGAACATTGCTGGGTTCTCGTTCCTTTGCCTCCTTTTTCAACGCTCACTCCAATGGCCTGTCTTGTGGGAGCCTTCCCTGATTCTGCCAGGCAGAGTTCCTTGCACCTTCCTTTGGACTTCTGAAAGGTTCTGTGCTTTTTTCTTTTTAAGCAACTCATATATTACATTTAACCTGTTCTGATTCTTTAAAAAACTGAACACATAGTACTTGCACATTTTTTGGGGTGCATGTGATGTTTTGATAAAATGCATAATGATCAAATCAAGGTAATGGAACTATCCATCACCTCAAACATTTATCTTTTGTGTCAGGAACATTCCAGCTCTTTTCTAGCTCTTTTGAACTATGAGAGACATTACTACCAACTATGGTCACTGTACTATACTATTGAACACTAGATTGTATTTCTTCTGACTGTATTTTTGCACCCATTAACCAACTTCTCTTCATCCTGCCCTCCACCCCTTCCCAGCCTCTGGTGACACCAGCCAACTCTCTATCTCCACAAGATTCACTTTTTCAGCTCCCACAAATGAGTGAGAACATGCGACCTTTGTCTTTTTTTTTTTTTTGAGACAGAGTCTTGCTCTGTCGCCTAGGCTACAGTGCAGTGGCACGATCTCAGCTCACTGCAACCTCTGCCTTCTGAGTTCAAGCAATTCTTCTGTCTCAGTCTCCTTGAGTAGCTGGGACTACAGGCGTGCACCACCACATCTGGCTAATTTTTGTATTTTTAGTAGAGACGGGGTTTCACCATGTTGGCTAGGCTGGTCTCAAATTCCTGATATCAAGTGATCCACCCACCTCAGCCTCCCAAAGTGCTGGGATTACAGGTGTGATCTTTATCTTTATGTGTCTGGCTTTCACTTAACATAATGACCTCCAGTTCCACCCATGTTGCTGCAAATGACAGGATTGCATTCTTTTTCCATGGCTGAATAACATCTGTTGGGTGTGTCCACAACATTTTCCTCGTCCCCTTATCTGCTGATGGACACTGAGGGTGATTCTCTACCTTGGCTATTGTGAGTAGAGCTGCAATAAGCATGGGAGTGTAAATATCTCTTCCACATACTGATTTCCTTTCTCCTGTCTTTTGGATATAGTTACCCTGCAGTGGGATTGCTAGGTCATACGGTAGCTCCGTTTTTAGTGTTTTGAGGACCCTCCATACTGCCTTCCATAGAGGCTGTGCTAATTTACATTCCCACCAACACGGTGCGAGCACTTCCCTTACTCTACATCCTCACCAGCGTTCGTGATTTCCTGTCCTTTTTATAACAGCCATTTTAACTGGGGTGAGATGATATCTCATTCTGGCTCCTGCAGTGGGGGCAGATGTCAGAGACTCTGAATTGTTAAAGACAAATAATAACAGATGTCAGAGAGGATGTGGAGAAATGGGAACCCTTGTTCATTGCTGGTAGGAATGTAAAATAGTGCAGCTACTTCGGAAAACAGTCTGACAGTTCGTTAGAAGGTTAAACGTACAGTTACTGTGTAACCAACAATTCCACTCCTAGGTGTCTTCCCAAGAGAGTTGAAAACAGCTGTCCATGAAAAAAAAATTTACATTTACATTTCCTTGATGATTAGTGATATTGAATGTTTTTTGATATAACTGTTGGCTATCTGCATGTCTTCTTTTGAGAAATATCTATTCATGTTTCTTGCCCTTTAAAAAATCGTGTTATTTGTGTTTTCGCTGTTGATTTTTTTTGAGTTCCTCATAATATATTCAGTTATTAATCCTTGTTGGATGGATAGTTTGCAAATATTTCCTCCTATCCTGCAGATTGGCTCTTGGTTGGTTGTTTCCGCTGCTGTGCAGAAGCTTTTCAACTTGTGGTAATCCCATTTGTCTATTTTTGATTTTGTTGTCTGTGCTTTTGAGGTCTTACCTAAAAAGCTTTTGCCCAGACAGACCAACATCCTGAAGCATTTCCCCAGTGTTTTCTTCCAGGATTTTCTTTGTTTCATGCCTTAGATTTAATCCATTTTGGTTTGATTTTTATGTATGGTGAGAGAGAAGGGTCTGGTTTTAATCTTTTGCATATGGTTATCTAGTTTTACCAGCACCACTTACTGAAGAGACTGCCCTTTCCCAATGTATATTCTCAGCACCTTTGTTGAAAATGAAATGATCGTGTGGATTTTGTTCTGTATTATTAATGTGATGTATCACATTTGTTGATTTGTGGATGTTGAACCATCCTTGCATCCCTGGAACAAATCCCACTTGATCATGGTGCATGATCTTTTTGATGCATTGTTGAATTCTGTTTGATAATATTTTGCTGAGGATTTTTCATCTGTGTTTATCAGGAATATTGGCTTGTAACACTCTCTTTGTTGTATCATTGTGTGGTTTTGATGTCTTTCTGATTCTTTAGTTGGTGAGCCCATTTGTTCTTTATTTCAGCAAGCAGCATTTCTTGAGTGCCATGTGCTGGGTACAGTGCTGAGTGCTCAGACAAGTGCTGAAAAAACATGCAAACCTGTCCTCCAGAAGCTCACAGTCTAGTAAGGGAAAGGGAATTTGGTTGACTTCCAAATTCCCAAGTTGTCTGCCTATAGCCCTGGGTGGTGGCACCATGTTCTGAAGTAGGGCTTGCAGGACAAGAGGCAGGGTTATGGAGAAGGATGAAAAGCTCTGTTTGGAACCTGTGCATGGGAGTTACTGTGAACTATCAGTAGAGATGTCCAGGGAGTGGTCAGAGTTGTAGGTTTTTATTTTATTTTATTTATTTTTATATACTTTAAGTTCTGTGCAGAATGTGCAAGTTTGTTACATAGAAATACACGTGCCATGGTGATTTGCTGCACCCAGCAACCCGTCATCTAAGTTTTAAGCCCCGCATGCATTAGGTATTTCTCCTAATGCTCTCTTCCTCCCCTTGTCCCCAACCCCCAGACAGGCCGTGGTGTGTGATGTTATCGTCCCTGTGTCCACATATTCTCATTGTTCAACTGCCACTTATGAGTGAGACCATGCAGTGTTTGGTTTTCTGTTCCTGTGTTAGTCTGCTGAGGATGATGGTTTCCAGCTTCATCCATGTCCTTGCAAAGGACATGAACTCATTCTTTTTTGTGGCTGCATAGTATTCCACGTTGTATGAGAGGCCTTGACTAGAGAAGGAGAGTTGGGAATCAATAGGGTAGAGGTACTGGTTAATGATGACATAATTAATGCGACCACCGGAGAGGCTGAGTAGACTACCACGTTTAAAGGCAGGTGGAGAAGGGAAGCTGGTGAAGCTGACTGGGAAGGAGAGATGAGAGGAGGGGAGGAGGAGATGGAATCTCTGAAGCCAGAGGAGGAGAAATTCCAGGAAGGGAGGACATCTGTGTCAGACACACAGAGACGTCTGGCACAGTGACCCAAACCCTGCACAGGTCGACAGGAGGTTGTTAGTAACCTCAACAAAAGTGCATTGAGACCCTTCACACCTCTAGCATGGCTTTAATCAAAAAGACAAATAATAACAGATGTCAGAGAGGAGATGGAGAAATGGGAACCCTTGCTCGTCGCTGGTGGAAGTGTGACATAGTGCAGCTACTTTGGAAAACAGTCTGGCAGTTCCTTAGAAGGTTAAACACAGAGTTAGCATATGACCAAGCAAATCCACTCCTATGTGTATACCCAAGAGAGCGAGAACAGTGGGCCATGAAAGACCGAGTGCACCAGCACAGCTCGCCCACAGATGTTCATGGCAGCATTACTCATCCTAGCCCAAAGTGGAAAGCATCCAAATGTCCATCATCTGGTGGATGGATAAACAAAATGCGATCTAGCCATAAAATGGATTATTATTGGCCGGGCGCGGTGGCTCAAGCCTGTAATCCCAGCACTTTGGGAGGCCGAGGCGGGTGGATCACGAGGTCAAGAGATCGAGACCATCCTAGTCAACATGGTGAAACCCCGTCTCTACTAAAGCTACAAAAAATTAGCTGGGCATGGTGGCGCGTGCCTGTAATCCCAGCTACTCAGGAGGCTGAGGCAGGAGAATTGCCTGAACCCAGGAGGCGGAGGTTGCGGTGAGCCGAGATCGCGCCATTGCACTCCAGCCTGGGTAACAAGAGCGAAACTCCGTCTCAAAAAAAAAAAAAGGATTATTATTAGAATAAAAAGGAATAAAGTGCGGATACAAGCTACAACATTGGCGCATAGGTGAACCTTGAAAACATTGAGTTTAAGAAGCCAGACAAAAATGCCGTATTATATGGTTCTGTGTACATGACTGTCCGGAAGAGGCCGGTTTACAGTGAGGGCTTAGGGATCGGGTGGGAGTTGCGGGGAGAGGAATAGGAGGTGATTACAGATGGCTCCAGGGTTTCCTTTAGGGGCCAAACGTGTTCTAAAAGCAGATGGTGGTGACAGTTGCACAACTCTGAATATACTAAAAGCCATTGCACTGTATACTTTAAATAGGTGAGTTCTGTGGTACGTAGATTCTGTTTCAACAACACTATTGTTTAAAAAGTGCATTGATGGCAGGTGCAGTGGCTCACGCCTGTAATCTCAGAACTCTGGGAGGCCGAGGTAGGCAGGTCACTCGAAGTCAAGAGTTCAAGACCAGCCTGGCCAACATGGTGAAACGCTGTCTCTACTAAAAATACAAAGATTAGCCAGGTGTGGTCGCACATGTGTGTAATTCCAGCTACTCGGGAGGCTAAAGCAGGAGAATCGCTTGAACCTGGGAGGCAGAGGTTGCAGTGAGCCAAGATCATGCCACTGCATTCCAGCCTGGGTGACAGAACGAGGCTCCATCTCAAAAACCAGTGCATGGAGGACACGGCCATCCTGTCCCACACAGCGGGCACTGTGGACACTGTCCATGGTCTTTGTTAGACTATAGGAGAAGGAAACTCTTGGCTGAGCGTACCCTTGCTTCCCAGCTCCCAGGGCAGCCTCCTCATGTGGGTCCAGGAGCGTATTCTCGTCTGTATGAAGGGCGGCCTCCTGGGACCTCCCAGGAGTTCATGTGTCTTGGGTGGTTCCTGCGGTGGGGGCGGATGTCACAGACTCTGCCATATTCCCTGCTGCATTCCCCACAGGGCCCTCTCTTGACCCATAACTCGGCCAGGTGTGAGGCCACAGCATGGGTGAGAGAGATCTGGGCTAGAAGCCATCAAGCCAGGACCCCAGCTTGGCAGCTCTGAACTTGACCATGAACCTAGAATAGCCCCTGTAGTAGGGATCAGGAAACCCTGCCGTGTGCTGCCGTCTCTGGGGGGCTCAGGTGGGAAAGGATGTCTTGGCAGTGATGCTTGGGTGGGGTGTTTGACCCCACAGCCCCCTACAATGCTGGTCGCCGGCTGGCAGAGGCTCTGCCTGGGGTCGGGGATGGGGCGCGGGTGGAGGCTGCCTCCATGGCTTCAGTCCTCATTTCTGTTCCCTCAGTGACAGCGTATCCAGCACGCCCAAGACCCCGGACGGTGGACACTCCTCTCAGGAGATAAAGTCTGAGACCTCATCCAATCCCAGCTCTCCGGAAATCTGCCCCAACAGGGAGAAGTAAGAGAGTGAGGGTGAGGGAAAGGCTGGCTTTGGCCACGGAGCCCTGGAACACGCTCTCTGCCTCTTGGCTGGCTGAGAGTGACCATCTCCTGCCTCTGGAACTCTCCAGAACACAAAGGCTGATGGGTGGGGGTGTGGGCAGCCACCAGAGGACAGGCTCAGATCTGCACAGGGGCTGCCCTGTCCGATCCCGGGAGGACCCGGGGGTGGAGGGCTCTCGTGTGCCACCAGGGCCGGCTTTGCTTCCTGTTCCCTGCAGGCCCTTTATGAAGTTGAAGGAGAATGGCCGTGCCATCTCTCGCTCCTCCTCCAGCACCAGCAGTGTCAGCAGCACCGCCGGGGAGGGCGAGGCCATGGAGGAGGGCGACAGTGGGGTAGGTGTGCCCGTCTACCCTTGGGCAGGCACTCTGGGCACTGGCCAGCCACCCTCCTTGCATTAGAATGGCACTGTGGATCAAGCCCACTCCAGTCTTTGCAGAGGAAAGGGGAAGAATGGAAACGAGAGGTGGGCTCGTCGGCCATCACCACCCCCTGGGTGCCGTGAGTGAGGGGGTCCCTCTTGGAGTGACATGGCAGCAGCAGCAGACGGCAGGGGCCAGACCTGATGGTGCCCCTGCCTTGGGGCTTCTGGCTGGAGTGCTGAGTGGCTAGTGCTGGCCCAGGAGGCTGGGTCAAAGGTCCTTCTTGGAGCAGAAAAGCTTAGAACCAGGGTTGAAGTCAGCAGGAAAGAAAAGAGCAGGTGGGGAGTGGGAGGCAGTGGCCGTCCTGGGCTTGTGGGTGCTCTCTCAGGCCTGTGTAATGTGGCTCCCGAGGGTGGGCTGACCTCGCTCACCCGGCCTCTCTCCTCAGAGCAGCCAGCCGTCCACAACGTCACCCTTCAAGCAGGAGGTGTTTGTCTACAGCCCGTCCCCGAGCAGCGAGAGCCCCAGCCTGGGGGCAGCCGCCACCCCGATCATCATGAGCCGGAGTCCCACAGGTCAGTGGCATCGGTGGTGTGTGTGACGTCACCGGGAGGGCAGGCCGTGCCCTGTCCACGGTTGGCCACAGCCACACCAAACTGTCCGGGCTTCAGCCCTCCTCCCCAGCTCTGCGAGTGCTCTCCATCTGTTCATCGGCCTTCACAGCCTAAGTTCCTAACCTCCCTACACGGGGAGTGTGAAACTGTGGCACAGAGAGGTGAAAGCCTTCCAGGAGACCCTGTGGGAATTCACTCAGGGTGGTGGCAAAAATACTAAGGGAAAAATAGTAGAGAAAGTTACAGAATATAGTCTCAAACCGTTTTGAAAGGCCTAAAGATTTTTTCATAGTTTCAGGAGAAGTTTCAGCTGAAGGCAGCCTAAATCCCCCTTGCATTGAGTTAATAAGTAAAGCAAATAGCCACGGTATGTGGGGGAGTTTATCTAACTAACTTGTTTACTCATGTGGTCTTAAAAGTAAGCTTTGAGCCAGATGGTGCTCTCAGGGAGGTTGACCAAGATATCCGCTAATGGTGTTAGCTTTGGGCGTTGGAATCTGTGCTTTAATCTTCACTCTAGTGGTGTTGACCCAAGCCTTTCTCAAATAAACTTTACTAAATAAATGCAAGCCTCTCTACTAGTGAGGGCCGGCGGCTGCAACTGTTTACAGCACTCTGCAGGGTGCCTGTAAGCCACAGGGACCCTCAGTCAAACTGGCAAAGCGTAATATCTGTGTCAGTGCACTTGATTCATCCGTCACTGGGTCAGGGTCTGCAGGACAGACCCCCACAGGTAGTGACCCTGATGAGGTCCCATAGTGGAGGAGTTGGGATTGGTGACGAGGCAGCTGAGCACTGTCCACTGGCCGCCCTCCCCACCTGCCAGCGTTCCAGGGCCCCTCTGTCCTGGTGGGGGTCCTGATAATACAAGAGGCGGAAGGGCTGCAGGGGGAGGGAACAGCAGGTGGAAAGGCCCAGAGGCGAGGAGAGAGCAGGCGTTCTGGACCTGCACGTGGTTCACAGCAGCTGGAGTCCACAGAGCCAGGCGGGAGACAGGCTGGAGCACTGGCAGGCCGAGGTCATCCCAGAGACCCTCGTGAGGGTTTGTTCTCTGGCTGGCAGCTGCTGTTGGAGACTCTTCAGTATTTGAAGATTCTTAAGTAGGGAAGCACCATCCAGAGTTGAGAAAGACCAGTTTGGTTGCTGCAGCTGCTGGGCGGAGAATGGGTTAATGGGGAGCAGGAACAGAGAGGAAGGAGAAGAGGGGACGGGAGGGGAACCGGGCTGTGGCAGAACGCCTGGGTTCGGGAGGTACAATGAGGTAAAATGTAGGGGCTCAGTAGCGGGGCTTCAGAGAGAGCAGGAGTCTGGATTTGGGGTTCTGTGATCCCTGCAGCTGGGCAGAGTAGGGGAGCCAGCTCTGGGGAGCGGGTGGGGGGCCAGCATCTGGGGGCTGCGTGGGGAGCACTGCTGGGCGGGTGCTGTGGGTTCCTGCTCTCGTGAGGGTGGCTGAGCATGGAGTGAGCACAGGACTCCGAGCCTGGGTCCAAATCTTGGGTCTGCTGCTCACTGGACATGATACTGGGCAAGTCACCGAGCCGTTCTGTGCCTCAGTTTCTCCAAGCAGAAAATGAAGGGAGAGGAATAGTAGTGTGTGCCTCCGAGGGCTGGTTGTGTGAAGATTAAAGGTGCTCGTGCTTGTGAGAGGCACGGCACTGGTAACCTCGGCGTTCGTTAAGGAGTGGGAATGCGACAGTAGTGTACTCAGCGGCTCTGAGCCGGGGCAGTCCTGCTCTCCCGTGGAGGTCTGGCAACGTCTAGACACGTTTTTTATTTTCACGATTTAGGAAGGGTGCTACTGGCATCTAGTGGGCAGAGGTCAGAGAAGCAGCTGAGCAATGTACAGGTCAGCCTGCAACCACATTAGCCAAAGAATTCTCTGACCCCAAATGTCATTTGGTTGAGAAACTCTAGTCTCAGTGATAGAGACACAGGAACGGCCAATGGGCCATCAGGATGGCTGAAGCCAAAATGTTCCTGGGGTCTGCACGGCGAAGGGGTGTTGCAAAGAGAACCTGCAGTGTCGGAGATAAAGGAAAGATGGTGAATCTACAGCTGGTGGCCCTCTGCCCATCTGTTTCTCAGTGAGTGGAGGAGGTCACATGCCTCCTCTCATTCAGCCCCCTATGGTCGGGCAGCTGCAGAGCTGGGTTCGAATCCCAGTTGTGGGATTGACAGGTCCACCTGTCTGAGCCCCAGCTTCCTCATCTGTAAAGGGGGATAGTAATACAAATTCCCTGGATTTTTTTTTTTAATTAAGGTCGGGCACGGTGGCTCACACCTGTAATCTCAGCACTTTGGGAAGCTGAGGCAGGTGGATCACGAGGTCAGGAGTTCAAGGCCAGCCTGGCCAAGATAGTGAAGCCTCATCTCTACTAAAAATTCAAAAAATTAGCTGGGCATGGTGGCAGGCGCCTGCAGTCCCAGCTACTCGGGAGGCTGAGGCAGGAGATTTGCTTGAATCCGGGAGACAGAGGGTACAGTGAGCTGAGATCGAGCCACTGCACTGCAGCCTGGGTGACAGAGTGAGACTTCATCTCAATAAAAACAACTTAAATATTGGAATGAATGAAAGAATCTGTAACGAAGCCTGGCCCCCGCTTGGTGTTAAATAAATATCCAAGTAAGGAAGGTTTTGAGTGAAGGAATGATAGAGTCTCTGCAAGTTGCTGAAGGTCACGGGGGCAGAAGGGACATTGGAAGGGTCTGGGCACTCTGGGCCAGTGCTTCCCGCTCCCCACAGTGACGCTGCTTCTTACACACCTTTTCTCCACACAGTATTTAACCCCCAGCCCCATGAAAGATGTGCATGGCTCCCCCAGGATGAGGATGGGCTTGGGGAGATCCGGGAACCTGTTTTCTGCTATTGGGCTGAGTCTGGGGAGAGAGGTGGCCTGGGAGGGCCTGACGTGTATCCTTCCATAACCTCAGATATCTGATCATTGGTCGTTTGATCCCTGGGCCTCCTGGGGCCCAGAAGAGGACTGACAGGTGACACAAAGAGGTGTCACAGCCCTGGGTGGACCGCCTTGATTCAAAGCACCACGCACCAGTCAGCAGCTTCCAGGAAGGCTGTGCTGAGCTGAGCTTTTGATACCCTTGGCCAGAGGAGAGCCAGAAACCCAGTGGCCCTCCTGCCAGTGGGGCCTAGTGGAGCGTTTATACCTACCTCTGCCGCCACTCACGCTCACTTACTGAGTCTTATGATATGATGGATGTGAAACACAGTGTACAAACAGCAAATAGATGCTGTTCTCTACTGTAAATCCCGTATGTCCAACTGACTCACAAAATGCTTTACGGGCATCTGCCTAACCTTTCCATCTGTAGCCAACTTAAGGCTGCAGGTGATGGGTAATTCTGACATGAATGTGGACCCATATTACCATGTTAATGAGTATTTTATATATATTTTATATATATATGTGTGTGTGTGTGTATATATATTTTTTTCTTTTTTTTGAGATGGAGTCTCACTGTGTCACCGAGGCTGGAGTACAGTGGCACAATCTTGGCTCACTGCAACCCCCACCTCCCGGGTTCAAGCTATTCTTCTGCCTCAACCTCCCAAGTAACTGGGATTACAGGCAAGCGCTACCACGCCTGGTTAATTTTTATAGTTTTAGTAGAGACGGGGTTTCACTATGTTGGCCAGGCTGGTCTTGAACTCCTGACCTCAGGTGATCCACCCACCTTGGCCTCCCAAAGTGCTGGGATTCTAGGCGTGAGCCCCTGCACCCGGCCATGAGTATTTCACACTAAGAGAACGTCACTGATCAGTGACATGAGTAATTTCTTTGCTGTATGCTAGAACAGCTTTCAAGCCCTGGAAGGATATTGACTCAGTTTTCTTTTGTGCTGTTCACAATGTCATGCCTGCAGACACACGTTTTGAAGTTTAATGTACGTTACTTTTTTTCTGTTCGTTCCTTAAGTCTAGACAACGAAACAATAAATCAAGCCACGATTCGTAGCATGCGCCACTTTCTGTGGTGTAAATACGCCTATCGTGGCTGACCTCAAGCTACTGATGCGACATCCTTGGAAGTGGAATTGGGAAGAAGGACACGTGGTAGCACCATCTTCAGGGTGTTTCTACCTTGTGGATACCATAGACATAATAGCATAGATAATCATAAAACAGAAAAATAACTAGGAAGTGACGCATTTCAAGTATTTATTACATCTGCTGAATATAATTTATTGAATTCTAATTACATAATTCAACTTTACAAAATGGCCTGTGTTGAACAACCCGCTCCCCACATTTCTGTAATCCAGGATTTGGCTCTTGTGGACCGGTACAGGTCAGCTGGAGTGCCGGCTCTGGTGGGGGGCAGGAGGCCCCCTTCCCCTGGGCTCCACGGCCAGTCCCCACATGCAGCCCCAGTGGTCTGTTCAGCTCCACCCCTCTTTCATGGGCGTTCTTTTTCTTAGATGGCAAAAGCAGAAACTCCCCGAGATCGAACCTGAAATTCCGCTTTGACAAGCTCAGCCATACCAGCTCCGGTGCGGTAAGGATGCTGTGAACACCTCCCACACCCCACATAGAAGGCAGCCGCCCTCCTGCAGGCCAGAGGAGGAGGGTTCAGACACGTCAGAGGGGGCTCCCCATAGGGAGCAGGGGAAGCTCTGGGGAGGTCTGGCCCAGCGGGCGCAGGTGGTGGCTCGGGGTTCCCAGCCACCTTTGCCACAACTGCTGAATTAGAGCTTCACCTCTGGACATGGCCAGGCCCACACGTGAGGTGTGAAATGCTGGTTCCTAGGCCCCGAGTCCCTTCCTGAGCTCACCAGACTGTCAGGAGCTGAGTGCAGAGACACTGCCGTGGAAGGGGACTGTGCTGTCTGGTTACTGAAACTCCTGTATGGGTTTTTGTTGAAACAGGGTCACTAATGTGAAGGAGGAGTCCTTTGCCTGTCCAAGGTGGGTTGAGTGAATGTCCCTCTGTGGTCATTGAGTTGGGAGGTGTGCTCCTTTTAGATCAGGGTTCAAGTGGCCTGTAGCCTCAGAATGGCCAGAGAGATGCTGCCAGCTGGGGAGGTCCAAAAAGCTGCCTCAGCCCTGAAGGCCTGTGACGGGGAGAGAGGGGCAGGTGGGAAGGGGGTTCCCGTAATGCTGGACCAGATGTACTAGGAGGTCTCCCTTCCACTGATGGAGTCTGGTTTCTACAGGCAGAAGGGGAGTAGCCACGCCCACTTCTGCTCCTGGAGGGAGGAGTTCCTGGGAGTGCTCCCTGGCATCCCTGCCCTCAGGCAGCTGTCCCCTCCTTGTGTCTGGCGGAGGTCCTGGGCTGGGTGTGCTCTCCTCCTCGCCAGGAGATGCCCCTGGCAGTCAGCACTGTGAGGGGCCACCCCAGGAGGCCTCTGCTCCTGCCTGCTTTGAGGGGGCATGTGGTTTCAGCAGAGCGGCCATGGGTACAGCTTGCTACCATCACGGCCTGGATGCCTGCTGGGGAAGTCCCCAGAGGCCCATCTGAGCCCCACCCTCTCCCCACATGGGGCTCCAGGGGTAGGAGTCAGTGCTGGAGCTGAGGGGAGGGGCATGGCCAAACCCCCTTTATGTTCAAACTGATATATGAAAAGCAGAAGACAAATGGGCATGTGGATCTTCCCTCTGGCTCTGTCATGCACTCCAGACGCCACTGCCCGCCAAAGCCATGGTGAGGCGCAGCTTCTTGGCCACGAATGGTGGGGCCGCCTGATACCAGGACCCTCCTGGTCCTAAGGTCTCCACTGAGCTGCAGCCGGGGGCAGGCGAGTTCCCCACCCCTTCCTCCCGACGTCTGCACGGTCCCTTCCTCCCTGTGCGGAATGTTGGCTCATCATCTCCCTCACCTTGTCTCCTCAGGGAAGCCCCGTTCTGCTCCCGTTCCAGCAGTTTGGGCGTGCCGAACATGACCCCGACAGCCCCAGGCCCGCCGCCCCACCGGCCACCTGCCCACAGACCAGCCGTCAGTCCGGGTGTCCCAGGTGGCCACAGCCCTGCCCGCGCCATCACCGACATGCCCTCCAAGTACATCCTGTCTCTGGACGAGGCCTCCTTCCTTAGGTTCCTCCTTCCTGACCTCCCAGTGTGATGTCCAGGTCCTTTGTCATCTTGTTCAGCCTGGAGAGGAAAAGAGTTGGGCAGAGGGGAGGGGGGACATGGGTGGAGCTCTGCAGTGACTGGGAGCTGATCTGCCTCAGAGACCGCGTTGGGGGTGGGGGCAGAACCCGGCGAGGGCCTTGGCCACAGGGCAGTGCCTTCCCAGACGGGGCGGGCTTTACCACCAGGAACGCTCTTGGTGGCATCATGCTCCCAGGAGCCAAGACTTGAGCATCCTTGAGGCCATCCTGATAAAAGTCGGCGCCATTGCCCCTGTATCCCTGGATCTCCAGAATCTCCAGCTTTGCTTCTGTGCTGAGCGTCTTTCCCATCTGCTGATGGAGGCCCGGGGTTGCCTCCCCGGCTGCCAGGATACCGTGAGCGGGGCGATAGCCAGTTCAAGCTCAGAGACAGCTGGATGGGCCAGGGCTGCGCTGCACGCCTCCTGGACGGTGGCAGGCACTTTGTGTCCTGCCCAGCTTCTCACAGGCCCCTGATCATGGCCACTGTGGGGGAAGCCCTGAGGCCGTCTCTTCCCCTTGAGTAGATATTTCTTCCACAAAGGGGCAGGAGGCCAGGAGGGAGAAGGAGTTCAGGGAGAGCGAAGGAGCTGGTGCTGGGAGGCTGCTGTGTTGGTTGAGGGCCAGGCCAGGGCCCAGGTCTCTGCTGGCAGGGGACGTTCCAGGAAGACCAGACATTTCCCCTCCCCACTTACTCGAGGGGAGAGTGAGGTGGGGAAGGCTTGCGGGTTCTGATCGGGCCCATGTAGAGGGAAGGGGCCCAGTATCCCTCAGCCGCATATGCCCCTGGAGTCTTGGGGGGCCCAGCATGGCCTTGGGGCCTTTTCCAGCCACTGTGGCTTTCAGCAACTGCGTCTGGGGCTCAACCCCCAATCCTATTGCCCTCTCCGGCTGGGGTCTGAGGCAGCTGTCACATCTGAAGGGCTCCTGCAACCTGGGTCCCATCTGGGTGTGGTTCAGACCCCATGACCCACATGCCACCCCACGCTCAGCAGAGCTCCCTTGCTGGGGCAGCCAGCTTACCCCCAGGACATCCCCCCGGCTTCTTCCTTCTGAGCCTGCAGGCCCTGGGCTTCTCTGCTGGTGGGCCTGGGTTGGGGTTAAGGTGGGCATCCTCCAGGTAAAGCAAGCCTGAAGAGCGGCTTTCAGTGCAGACGGGCCGTGGAGGGACGCCGGCTGCCTCCTGCTCCGTGAGCGGATGGCAGGGATTTCCAACCAAAGGCTTTATTCCCACAGGGCCTGGACCTGTGCCCAAGATATAAACGCTGCTCTCTCTTCGTTCCCTTTCCTTTCCATTTCCGTTTCTTTTCTTTCTCTACGGATATTGTGAAACTTCCCCCTTAGTTCTTTCCACTTGAGCAACGTTTTGCTCCTCACTCCCCCACTTGCGTGGGATTGAATCCTGTCTGCAGGCTGGAGGCGAGCTCTCCCCCACACTGTCTGGGGAATGTGCTTGCCTGAAGTACTAGTCTAGTAAAATTTATTCTAGTTAGAAGGTCAACACAGTATCTGTTTAGCTTTTATTAAAAGTCACCGCAGCAGCAGCCACTGCTGGAGCGAGGCCCATGTGTTCCGGCTGCGTTTTTGTGTTTTGTTGGCTGGATTTCTGAAGGAACTTGAAAGGTCAAACTGTATTTCTTGAGAAACAAATGCAGGTTCCCACTGACCTCTCTGGGTGGCTGGCATCACAGCTGCCTGGTGGATGGGCCATGTCGCATTGCAGTCTGGGGTCCTCTGGGGTTTCCAGGCTGTCACCACACCGTCCCATTCATCAGTCCCATACCTGCCTGTCCCCACTGCGCTGGCTGGCCCTTGCTGCCTGCCGCCTCCTGGGAGGGCGTTGTCCCTGCCTCTGAGCTGGTAGGCAGGATGGCTGGGTGGCCCCAGAGAAGCACAGACTTGAGATGGAGCCTCTACCCCCGGTTTGCTTTTGGAGTGCTCTGAGCAGGACCCCAAAGGCCCCTTCTCTCTGGTCCTGTGTCACTGTCTCTAGAAGCTCCATCCTGTGGCTTCCAGAGTGTGCACCTCCAGTCCACCCGGGGTGGCGGTGCTGAGAAGGGGGAGGAGAACGGGGATGGCCCAGTCTCCCCTCCCTCCTCCGGCCCACGGGGCAGGCAGCTCAGGTTCCTGGGGGTCTGCTTCCCCCACGCTCCCCTACATCTGCTCTGATTGAAAATGTCTTTCCTTTTATGCTGCGCCCAGTCTTGGGGCTCGGAGATTTGCCCAGACCTCACTGGCCCTTGCGACGAGGCTCATTTAGATGCTTAGGATGGTATTTGAGGGATTTCCACTGTGATGTCCACGAGGGGGCGTTGTCCGGAACATGTCTCTGGCTCTGGAAACTGCCTGACTCACTGAAGAAACTGCTTTCCAGGCACTGTGGGCCCAGCCATATGCCTCCAGCTCAGTTGATGCTTAAAACAGGTGCAGAAAAGCGAGATAGAAGGTCTTAATGGGAGTGTCTGTCTGTGACAATGAATGTAAAAATGTTTCTTGGAAAATAGTCAGTGGTTCAGCTTTGTCAGCATTATCTCATCCCAAGCCTCTGGCTCCTTTTAGTACCTCAGCCAGTAATGCCACTGTCCAGATGAGAAATCTTAGCCCAAGTGAGGGGAATGACATGCTTGAGGTCACACAGCTGGCTGGTGGCAAAGCTGGGATTGGAACCCTCAACCCAGGATCCCTTCCTGTGTGCTTGGTTGAATATGTGGCTGCGTTTCCTGGGGCCCTGGGTTTTGGGGAAGACAGTTAGCTGGTGGTTTGGCCCTGGCGTGGAGCTGATCAGTCAAGGATGCTGGTGAGGCCTCGGCTTCTGCTTGTTTTCATCAGGAGGGGTGGTCTTGGATTTTTCAGTGAGGACCCTCAGCCTTTGGGTGGAAGGAGACGAGGAGGGAAGGCGATTGGGTGACGTTCCTCGGTGGGATTGGTTCTTCAGCTCCAGTGTGTAATGGGGGCGGAGGCCAGGGGGAAGATGCTGCCCATCAGCCCCCTGCCTCCCTTTTCCTGAATTAGGAGGAAAAGTGGTCCAAGAAAACTCTATTTCTCCTTGATTCTTAAACAAAGGTGGTCAATAAAAACCTGGGCGAGCACCTCTCACTTTCCTCCTGGACCCTTGAAGGTGCCAATGCAAACATGACCTTTCTCACTGGTTTTTAAGTCAGTAGAGACATCTCTGTTTTGAGCAGTCCGGGGTTCGAGTAGATCTCATGGCTACAGGCGGCCAGCAGGGACCAGGCCGGCCAGCCACGCTCAGGACCCCTCGGCTCCCCCCCAGCCTCCAGCTACCCGTCATCAAGGCAAGGGGAGCCCAGTAAAGTTTGCCAAGGATGATCCTGTGGCCTGGCGGGGCTGGCTGGGGTATTCTTTTTACCAAGCTCTGTTTTACCACCAGTCCCTGTCCACCCCGATCCCACGTCTCCCTCCCTTCAGCTGGGCCATGTGCCCCTTTGGGAGGAGGACCAGCCCCACCAGGGCCAAGGGCAGCAGAGCCCTGCTGAGTGAGAGGCCGTGGGGCTGCGGCTCTGTCCTGCGCCTTACCGGCCCTGGGAGGGGGGCGTTTGGCTGGAAGACTGGAATTGAATTGCCATCGTCTTTGATTTTGTGACGTTTCTGTTTGGACTTGCAAATCCCCCTTCCTGCCTCTTAGCATGTGTGCGGCTCCTCCTTGTCTTGAGTACTCCCCTGGGACGCTGCAGCTCGGGGCGTGCTGACGTGTGAGCGTGCAGAGTCCCCTGTGTGGTAGAACCTAAGGACGGTGGCTTGGAAGAGATGCTCCACGGGACGATGACTTTCCTTTCTTTCCTCTTAGTGAGTGGGTGATTCCTAGACCCCAACTGCCAATGTCATGTAAATAATGTACATTTAATTTATTGCTATGGTAGCACATTGTATTTGTTAATGTACAAAACAAATTCTAAAAGGTTGACAAATGTATATTTTGTTGCTTAAATGTGTCTTTGCAGAAATTGACAATAAATAACATATTTTGTGTCCATCCGTGTTCAAACTTCTTTACATGGGGTCCTGGGCCCGGGCAGCACTTTGCAGCTCACTGGCAGTTGCGTATTCTCTGCCCTATTGGTGTGTTACTTTGGCCTGGAATGTGTTTTTGAACATTTAAGTTGTTGATGTTTAAAATATTGACAATAATTACAAAAGTGGCTGGGCATGGTGGCTCCCACCCATAATCCTAACAGTTTGGGAGGCGGAGGCAGGAGGATCTCTTGAGCCTAAGGGTTTGAGACCAGCCTGGGCAACATAGTGAGGCCACATGTGTACCCCTCCTTCCCCCGCAAAAACAAAAAACAAAAAAATCGTAAAAAATTAGCTGGGCAGGTGGCGTGCACTTGTGTTCCCAGCTACTGGAGAGGCTGAGCCTGGAGGATTGCTTGAGCCTGGGAAGTCAGGGCTGCGGTGATCTGTGAATGTACCAGTGCACTCCAGCCTGGGCGACAGAGTGAGACTATGTTTCAAAACAACAGCAGTAACAAAAACGTCGGGTGCCGGGCTCCCTCCTGTCATTCCAGCACTGTGGGAGGCTGAGGCGGGTGGATCACTTGAGGTCAGGCTTTCAAGACCAGCCTGGCCAACACGGTGAAACACTGTCTCTACTAAAACTACAAAATTTAGCTGGGTGTGGTGGTGGTGGCCTGTAATCCCCGCTGCTCAGAAGGCTGAGGCAGGAGACTGTTGAACTCTGGAGGTGGAGGTTGCACTGAGCCGAGATCATGCCACTGCACTCCAGCCTGGGCGACACAGAGCTGGGGTCTCAATGTTATCAAACAAACCCTGGAAATTTTACATAAACTTTGAATTCTGCTTCTTTTAAGAAATCAGAAGCTGAATCTCCTCCTCAGGCAGGAGTTGCTCAGAGTTCACCGGCATCTTTCCCTGCTGAGTGGGCCCTTGTGTGACCCCGTCTCCACCGTTCCGTGTTCATACCGGAACATTTCACTCATTCCTGTTGCCTGCTGCCCTCTGGCATGGCTGAGTTTGCGAGCCCTGCTGTTCACTGATTGTCTCCATCCTGCAACGCTCTCCCTCTGCTCACTTCTCAGATTCCCAATTCGCTCCTTCCAGCTTTCTTTCATGGCTGAGTGCTCTTTCTTCCTGTCCTCCTCTGACTCCTGAATCGCCCTGTTTCTACATATGCTTTGCTTTACACTGCTTGGCTGTGCAGCTTGAAATAATCTCTGCATTTTTTTTTTTTTTTCCTGAAGAAATCTGAAGGCAAGGAACAGGTCTTTAAGAATCTGCTGGGTCACACCTGTCACCCAGCACTTTGAGAGGCCGAGGCGGACAGACCACTTGAGGTCAGGAGTTTGAGACCAGCCTGGCCAACACGGTAAACCCGTCTCTACTAAAAAGACAAAAATTAGCTGGGCATGGTGGCTTGCACCTGTAATCCCAGCTACTCGGGAGGCTGAGGCACGGGAATCACTTGAACCTGGGAGGTGGAGGTTGCAGTGAGCCGGAATCGTGCCATTGCCCTCCAGCCTGAGTAGCAGAGTGAGACTCCATCTCAAATAAGTAAGTAAATAAATGAGAATCTACCATGACTTTTGTGGTCTTGGGCAAATTTGTTAACTCCCTATGATTTGCATTTTCTTTTTTGTATAATTGGAACAATAATCCACCTACGAAGCACAAGGAGAAAAATGAATTTATTATCGGGAAAGAGCTTTGAGAAGTGGCAAGTGTCACACAAGCGCCAGAGGTTCGATAATAACCACAGTAACAATGCGAGCCCCCGACGTTGAAAGCTCACTGTGTCTTACCCCGGTGGTCAGTTCTGTTAGGACACCACTGCTGGCTCCTAAGCGTACATCATGGGACATGGCGCAACCGCAGGGCTTATGGGGAAAAGCGGGGTAAGGGACGTCACACTCAGAAACTTTGTCAGTGACATACAAAAGGACAGGTACCTAATGTGAACAATGTCACACACGTTAAACGACTGAGAAACGCGTAAGTACCACGATAAAGGCATTTTCGCTTAAAAAAGATAAAGTAGCTGGGTGCAGTGGCTCATGCCTGTAAGCCCAGCACTTTGGGAGGCCGTGGCGGGTGTATCACAAGGTCAGGAGATCGAGACTGTCCTGGCTAACACGGTGAAACCCCATCTGTACTAAAAATACAAAAAATTATCCGAGTGTGGTAGCAGGCGCCTGTGATCCCAGCTACTCAGGAGGCTGAGGCAGAATTGCTTGAACCCAGGTGGCTGAGGTTGCAGTGAGCCGAGATAGTGCCATTGCACTCCAGCCTGAGCAACAGAGCAACAGTCCATCTCAAAAAAAAAAAAAAAAAAAAAAAGGAAGGCCACGGGGGAATCCTCTGGCCAAAGCTGTCACCTGAGGAGTCCCACATATCACGAGAAAGAGCCTTAAATGACTATCCCGCTCATACTCGGACCCCAAGTGGGAGCAGCTTGTGGAAAGGCTGGCTTAGCTGTGGCTCTAGTCCAGCTTGAGGCTCGAGCACTGGTGGGTTGGTGGCATAAGTCCCGGTCTGAGTCTGCAAGCCTGAGAACAAGGGCACTTCTCCCTAAGGGCAGGAGAAGGTGTGGGTCCACACAGCTCCAGTGGAGAGGGCTAATTTGTTTTTTATGTCCTTTTTTGTGTCAGGCCTCATCAGATTGGACAATGCCCAACCACAGTGGCGGGGGTGGGTCTTCCTTACTCCATCCACGGGTTCAAGTGCTAATCTCTTCTGGAAGCCCCTCACAGACATACCCAGAAATGTTTTGCTAGCTATCCGGGTATCCCTTAGCCCAGTCAAGGGGACGTGTAGAATTCACCATCACAAAGGCCCAATGTCCTCCCTTCTCCATGGAGCCTGCCCTCCTCCTCTATGTCCTGGGGGAATGGGGTGGGATGTTGATTTTACAGCTGGTTCTGGTGCACTGGAGCTGCTCTGCAAGCCAGGTGGGGCTCTGTGGCTTGTTCCAGTGACCCCAGTGGCCCTCTGAATTTGAAATGGGGATTTCTTGGGTCCACCCAGACCCTCCGCCATGGAATAGCACACCTGGTGCTTATGGCACTCCCTGCTGATGAGAATCAGAGGTGAGTTCCAGAAAGGAAGCCTGAGACATCGTTTTGACACTTTAGGGCAAGGATCCTGGGAAGGAGACCTTAGATCTCCATTTCTTCAGGCAGAGATGATACCTGTTGGAGCAGCTGCCTTGGGTTTCCAGAAATAGCTGCCGTCAAGCTGTCCCCCAATCTATGTCTATAGTTACCTCTGATCCCACAGCTCCCGCAGGCACTGGGCTGCTGCCGGGGAGGAGGGAGGAGGGAGGGAGGGAGGGAGGTGCCTTGCTGGCACAGAGGCGACATGGGCAGGCCTGGGCCAGGGGCTGTGCCCTCCTTGGCTACGCCTGTGCCAAGCTGCCCCCTCCCCAGCCAAACCATCAGAAGAGCCCCAGGCAGGGCTGGACCAAGGTGAGGGCTGGAGGACACCTGTGGCCCCTGCAGGGACCCTCTACCCTGCCCACTGCCGTTCACCCCTGGACCTCACACTGGTCTGCCTGACTGGGAGCTGCAGGAGGCAGGGCAGACATAAGGACAGCAGAGATCCAAGCCCAGTTTCCAGCTCCAGGCCTGGCATCCAGCAGCGACCCCACTGTGGGTGCCGAGGGGGACAGGAGCCCCCTCTTGCACAACATGAAGCAGGAGCCCCCCCTGCCCCTCACAGCCCAGCTACCGCCTCTGCCATCTGTCCCCTGGCAATGGCTCACCACCACACCGGCCTGCTGGGGTCCTACATGCAGGGAGCTCAGACACCTGCAGGCCCATCTCTGGGGCCCTGGCGGGTGAGAGACAGGCGGGCCATGGGAGGCCTGCGGGGGTCCCTGCTGGGTCAGCATCTGGCCAGGTAATGGCTCGTCTCTAATGAGCTCTTGGGCCATTGCTGGCATCCCCCAGCACACCGTGTGGCTGACGGCCTCAGGAGGCGGCTTGTGCATCCCCCAGAGCCCTGGCCTGGCAGCCCTAAGCCCAAGGGTGATTGTCACTCTGGCGCACAAGGCACTGCTGGGGAAATTAAGTCAATGGGGAGGTATGGGGGGGCAGTCAGGGAGGGATTCCTGGAGGAGGGGACACCTCACATGGGGTTTGGAAGGGGCATCAGTGGGAGGGTTCCAGGCAAAGGAACAGCGTATAAGTGCAAACGCGCATGTGTGTGCGCACACAGAGGAGGGGAACCCTAAGACTGCAGGGACGACCTGGGTGGGGGGATGTGTTTGAGTTTGGGCTCATCCTGTGGCTCCAGTGGGGGTGCTCCATGGCGGGGGAGCCTGGGTGCACAGGATCTGGGCCTCAGAAACACACTGCCTGAGTTCGGGCAGAGGGGCCAGGCCAGAAGGCAGGCGGGAGGTGTCCCTGGGAACTGCCTGGCCTGGACGTGGGGTGGGGGCAGAGTGTGTCCAGCCAGACCCACAGCCCTCCTTCTAGCCTCTGCTGTCTCCAACCCCAGCTGCTGCAGTCCCAGAGCTGAGGGCGGGGAGCCAGGAGGAAAGTCTTGCTCCTGACATTCATTGTTTATTGCTTTGGGGTCCTTCAGTCCACATGGGCCTGCCGGGGTCCTACATGCCGGGGAGCTCAGACACCTGCAGGCCCATCTCTGGGGCCCTGGCAGTTGAGAGACAGACGGGCCATGGGAGGCCTGCGGGAGTCCCTGCTGGGTCAGCGTCTGGCCAGGTAAGGGCTCATCTCTGATGAGCTCCTGGGCCATTGCTGCCAACCCCCAGTACACCGTGTGGCTGACGGCCTCGGGAGGCGGCTTGTGCATCTGCTGGAGCCCTGGCCTGGCACTCCTTTGGGGTCCTGAAGCCCTTCTGGTCCTGGGGAGCACCTGCAGCATTCTAGGCCAGCGGTTTTCAACTGTTAAAGCAATGGAACATGTTCTGCCAAAAAAACCTTCTATGGAAGAAAATGGCTAAACTAGAACTGCCAGGGTGGGGGCGGGGGCGGGGCCCGGGCGGGGGCGGGGTGTGAAGCCCAGGGCAGCTCCCGCTGCGTCATCCTTGACCTCAGGCTCTCTGACCGCCCCGGGGGCACGTCCCCTCATCTTGTCAGTGCCTGTAGCTGGCTGAGGCCTCCCTCGGCATGGGGCCCCCTCTGTGGGAAGGGGTATCTGCCACATGGGCAGAGGCTATGCGGGCACAGGGAGCTCTGTCAGCTGCAGGTGACATGGGCTCTGGTGGCTCTGGCCGCCCCCTCCTGCGGGGAGTAGCAGATGGCCCGGGTGGTCCCAGCCCTGATGCCCCAGCACAGGGGTCCGCAAACTACGGCCTACGAGCCAAGAACGCCTGTTACATTTTTAAACAGTTAAAAGCAAAAGGATCAAAAGAATGTTTCGTGACATATGAAAATGAATTGAAATCGAGGCCCCGGTGTCGGTAAGTGGAGCTGGGCTGCCGCCGAGCCCGTGAATCCGTGTTCTGCGTCTGCGGCTGTTCTGCGTGGCAGGAGCGGAGCTGAGCGGCTGTGACCTGGGGCCTCCGCACTCCAGCCCTCCTGGGGAAGCCGGCCACCTGTTCTGGGGCGTTCTTTCTGTTACCATAGATAAGATGCTTCTGAGAAAGGGAGACCCAGGGTGCCCTAGGCCCCCGCAAATGATGTTCGTCCCAGGCTCTTCCTTTCACTCTCTGCAGGGGCCCCAGCCCCCAAGGCCTCAACAGCGGCCAGGAGGGCAAAGGGGCGGTGAACCAGGTACTCACAGGACGGCCCAGCCCAGGTAGTTGGCTGTGCTTCCCCAGTACATGAGGTTGTCCAGGACGCTGAAGGGGAACACAGTCACTCTCGCCTCCTTGAGGATCCCGAAGTAATCACCTGTGGATGAGGCAAGGCAGGGTCCCTGGGCTGTGGACAGCCCTGGCCATGCCATCACTGAGGGAGGCCCCAGGGCGGGCTGTGGCGGACCCGCAGGTGAGACAGGGCCCTGCCTCCCAGGAGACTCCAGGGCTTCAACAGTGGGCAGTCAGAGGGACCCAACAGGCACGTGGACAGCAGAGGGCGCGGGGCCCAGGGACTGAGGGGCTGAGCGCCACCCCGCCCCACTCCTCCTCTTCTCGCATGCCCTGGCCCAGCCACGCTGGCCTTCCTGTCTTCTTGGCTCTGCACATGCTGTTCCCTCCCTTGCAGTGCCTTTCCCTGCTCTCTGTAGACAGCTCCGTTCCTCCTCGGGCCCTTCTCCCTCTGCTCCTGTTGCCTCTTTACCTTCCTCCTCCTGTCCTACCTCCTGCTACTCCTGGATCTGGTGAGTTCCTCGCCCCCGGGGGGCCTCAGCTGGTTGCTAAGGGCTGCTCTGCTCCACGCCCCAGGCTATGTGGCTCTGGCACCAGGGCCTGGCCATGGCACGCCTCCCGTCACTCTAGCAGGTCAGCCCTGGTAGTAGTTTTCCCACCCAGGGGCCCAGAGGAGCTAGACCCAGTGGAGAGAGGGTGGCTATCGGGCATTCAGTTCCAGACAGGCCAGCCATGCACCCGTCAGCCGCACGGCCACAAGGCGTCCCCTGGCAGGGCTGCTCTGAGCTGTAAGGTGGCACTGGGATCACAGTCACAGTGTCTGTCCCAGGCCCACACAGGGCAGTCCCACGGGACACAGAGTAACCGCTCCATAAAGGGTGCGGCTTCGTCCCTCCCAGCCTGCTGTCCCCAGAAACCCCTCATTTGTCTCTCCTCCAGGAGGACAATGGAGCTCCATCCGAGGCAGGAAGTAGGGCAGCTGCCCGACAATGGGCAGCACAGGCAGGAGGGTCCAGGAGCTGCGTCACCATCTGGGGACACGAGGCAGGGCCCAGGACCACTGGAAACTTCTTCCTTCCCGGGAAGCAGGAAGTGGGGCAGCGGGGTGTGGGTGGATGGCACAGAAACCCAGTTCCGGCTGAGTCACAGTGGGAAGTGACCACCTTTGCCGACATCCCGCACTGCTGGCCCCGGGGTTTCTAGGCCATGTCTGCTGGCAGGGCGGCGGGGAGGCTGTGGCCACTGGTGTTCGTGGGCTCCTTCCCTCCCTCTGACTGTCCAGGGACCCCCCAGCTAGCTCTTCACTGCCGAGGGACTCTGCCCGCCACCCTGGCTCTCCCTGCGCTGCCTGTAGCCTTCCCTGCCCAGACCCACCGGAGCCCTGGCCGCTCCCTGCTGCTGCCCTCCCACAGGACCTGACTGCACAGCTCGGAGCCGCCTCCCCGTGTGGCTCTCTCCGCCCTCCACAGCTCCTCCTGAGCCCCACCTCTGATCCCAGCTCCATCAGTCCAACCTCTTCCTTGCTGGGACGCCCCTATGGCTCCCACCTCTCTGGGGATGGAGCCTCAGCCCCTTGCATGGTCTTTGGGGCCTCGGCTCACCCTCCAGCCCTGTCCCAACCCACAGCGCCTGTGTGGCCAGTCCAGCTGCCCCCCTCTCTCCAGCCACCCGCCACTCTGCCCTCAACCTCCTTCTCCATGCACCAAGGCCTTTTCCTCTTCCCCACCTGCCCGCACCTGCCCCTGCCTGGCAGATCCAGATGCCCCTGGCTGCCGCCCTCTGCCTGGACCAAACTCCCTATAGCTCCTGCCTGAGCAGAAAGCACTGAACCTCCTGGAGGTGACCCCCACAGTCCCACTGAGGCCTGGCCATGGGCAATCCAGAATGCTGCACCCACAGACGCCACTTCCTCCCTCGGGGGACCCTGCTGCCGGGCGCAGGCTCCTGGAGAGCTTCAAGCGCCTGTGACAGCCCATGGTGCCCTCAGGGCTGGGCCCAAGAAGCTGCAGCCGGCATCTAGGGATGAGGATGGCAGGCAGGCCTGGGAGGTCCTTAGGCCACCGCTGGTCCCACGAGGCCACAAGGCCACTGAAGCCGAGTGACCTGCCGAGCTCCAGCACAGGCCACGGCTGATGGAGAGGAAGACGTGGGCCTCCCCACCCTGGTGGACCCGGGGCACCGTGGCTAGCTGGGCCAACTCCCTGCTCGCTGGGAGGGGTTCCCTTTGGACAGGGCTGCCTCCTTCTCTCCTTCCCGGTTCTGAAGGCCCCCTCTTGTCCCCCACCCCTGCCCCCCAGCTTTCCCATGACTGCTTTTCTTTCCCAGCTTCTGAGGAGCTGGAAGTTGCTGTCATCATGAGGGTCGGTGGGCGTCTGGCCAGGCCAGCACTGGGCTCACAGCCTGAAAGCACCTCAGCCACAGGCAGAGGGGAACGGGGAAAGGATGAGGTTCCTCCACCCCTCACCCCTCCCCAGAACTACGCCAGCCCGGCATGCTGCCAAACACGGCACAAACCGCAATCCTGCCTGGCCTGAGAGCCACGCGTGCCGGGAGCTGCCCAAGGCAGAGCCGGAGATGCCGTGGAGGTAGCCGACTCACCACCAGCACCTTAGCCTTCGGTGCCACGGGGCCCGAAGGCCTTCAGCAAGGGGGAGCTGGGGCCAGAGCTGGACTCAAGGAGTCCGGCACCGGCCTGGGCCGCAGAACGGGCATTTAGTGCATCCTCATTAGCTGGAGAGAAGAGCAGGAGCTGTCTTGACTCCCAGGAGGCAGCCACTCAGCACCCTGGGCTAAGAGGAGCTGCTGGAGCCCAGCCTCCCGAGCTAATCACGGAGGAGGGAGGATGCCCCGATGGAGTGGGGGCCCCAGTACTCCCACCGATGTCACAGACAGCAGGGTGGCAGCCACCTCACCCTGCTCCTCCCTGGGACTCCTGCAGGCCTGCACAGGGTCACCCCAGCCTCTTACCTAGGAAGGTTCCAGTGAACCCCAGTGCAAAGAAGCTGGAGAGCACAAGCACGACGCCCACTCCCAGGAGCGCGAGGCCGAGGCAGCGGGCCGCGGGGGTGTCCAGGCTCTCCATCTTGGGCTGGCTCATCATGGCCTGCATGAAGCTGTGGGCATGGGACAGAGAGGGAGGATGTCAGGCCAGGGACGATGTCACGGCCCAGGAGGAGGCCAAACTCACCTTCTCGCCCCCTCCCCAGGGACCCTCAGAGAGTAGCCAGCCCAGGGCTGCTAGGCCAGGCAGGCACCAGAGTGAGTGGAGCAGACAGCAGCTAGGGCCTGGTCCACCTGGGAGGGAGGGGACGGGAGCAGGGAGGGGCCCAGGACTACCAGATTTTTAATTTTTTCAAGAGAAGCCAGAAATCCTGACTCGTATGTGAAATATCCTAATTTTTAGAAATAGACAATTCATGAACTCCACTTTAGACCTGCATGTGAGCAGGCTGGGCACAGCCCAAAGGCCACCACCTGCCAGTGCTCATCCTGCCCCATGAGCAGCTCACACCATGGAGGAAAGTGAGGCTGAGAAAGTCACAGGTGCCAGGCTGCAGGGCAGCTCTTGGTGTCCCATTCCCCAACAGACTCAGTGCCCCGAGGCCTGGAGCGTGCTCTGTGCTGTGGATTCAGCTTCCACAGCCCCTGCAGGCCTGACCACATCCTGGGTGGGTTGACTTGCATTTAGAGGCATGTTGGGGGCCATTGATATCCTCCTCCGCACCGGAACTCCCCCACTAGGCTTCCTTTGGGGCCAAAACACCGAAGGCCTTATTAAATGGTAGTGGGGGCCAGGTGCAGTGGCTCACGCCTCTAATCCCAACATTTTGGGAGGCCAAGGTGGGCAGATCACTTGAGGTCAGGAGTTTGAGACCAGCCTGGCCAACATGGTGAAACCCCATCTCTACTAAAAATACAAAAATTAGCTGGGCATGATGGCGGGTGCCTGTAATCCCAGCTACTCGGGAGGCTGGGGCAGGAGAATCGCTTGAACCCAGGAGGCGGAGGTTGCCGTGAGCTGAGATCCCACCACTGCACTCCAACCTGGGCAATAGAGTGAGATTCAGTCTCAAAGAAAAAAAAGCAATGGGATGACCAACAGGGGGTGACTATGACAGCAGTGGGTCTAGAGGCTCAGGTCCTCCAGTTGGCTCCAGTGGACTGCAGGCCTGGTGCAGGCAGGGCACAGGGGCTGGGCATGCGGTGATGCACCAGGCCTTCAGTCCACTGGCGCCAACTGGAGGACCTGAGCCTCTAGACCGGCTGCTGTCATAGTCACCCCCTTTTGGTCATCACAAGGGAGTGGACGCTGCTGGGAAGGGAGCCCTGGGTGCCAGGTGAGAGGCACTTTCACAGGAAAGGGTGTGTGTGGGAGCACAGATACATGTGACCCAATGTGCACTTCCCATGCTCGCCATAATCACAACACAGAAGCGACATGGAGCTCTGCTGCCTCACGCAGGGCAACGCCTGACACCCAGTCTGCAGACGGCATCTCACAGCAGGGGCAGCTCGCCGTCCACTCACCCGCCCATCCTTCCATCCGTCAGTCTATCCTCTGTGCACCCGCACATCCATCCGTCTGTCCATCTATACATCCATCAGTGAATGGAACCATCCGTCCATCTGCCATGAAGTATCTTTGTTTGCCAGGCTTTCAAGCAGATCGATTTCCCATATTTATCCACTCATTCCATCCACTGGTAAATTCAGATTGTTGTGAAACTCCTTATGCTGAGCTAAGGACATCCAGACAAGTCTTTATGCTTCGAAGTTTCCCTGGAACTCCTTCCTCCAGCTAGACTGGGAGTTCTTGGGGAACAGAAGCTGCCCCTCCTTCCCTGAGTACCCCACCCCAGCACACATTCATCCACTGGAGAGAAGCAGCAGCTGCTCCTCCCTTCTCCCCCTATCCCCCAGAGCAGAGAAGGAGCCAGGGAGAAAGGGAGAAAGGTCTGTGGACAAAGCCACCAGGACCCAGCGGCAGAGGCAGGCACACTGACCTGTCAAACAGTGGCATCTGGGTGTCAGGGCACGCTGCCCACACCCCCAGCTCTCCACCCACCAGTGCCCTGTCCCGATCCTGCTGCTGCTGGGGCGCAGGGTTACCCTGCAGCTCCAGGCTGAGCCTCTGGGATTGGCTCAGGGTCACAGGCTGCCCATGGAGTCAGATGGTCACACGCACACCCAGTGTGGTGCCATGAGCCAGGCACACCTCCCCTGCCTGGCACCCTCCACTCTCCTGCCTGCAGACGGTGAGTGGGAGGGAAAGAAAGGGTCCCGGCTCTGCTCAGGAGCATGGCTCCTCTGCAGGTATCTGGCTCCTTGGCTGCCACTGCAGTGGGGACCAGAAAACAGACAGGGGAGAGCATTCCAGAAAGAGGAAATAGCAGGTCGGCGTGCCTTAGAGTCTGGGGCAGGGCGTGGAGCAGGGAAGGCTTGAAGGAGCCTGCCAGGTGGAGGCCTCAGCCTGGCGGGGTTGGGAATGCACTCTGCCTGCTGTGGAAAATCCACAATCAGGGAGACCCGTCAGTGCGGTGCCATAGTGGGTGGGCGCTGAGGCTGGGCCCGAGGACGCTGGAGGGTCACTCTGGAGGGAGACCCTGTCGCTCTTACACGCTCCTGTGGAGACCTAAGCCAGGGTCTGGGTCCATGCCCCATGCTCAGGGTTCCTCTATCAGAATTTGTCTGCATCACACAAGCAGGCAGCAGATAAAAGGGAACCTCCTCCCTCTGGTGGGGCCCAGCCTGAAGCCCAATGCGTTCAGGGCCCAGGTTACCTGGGGGCGTGGCTCAGTAGGAAAATCAGATCTGTTCGGAAGCAGATTCCTGATGAAGGGCAGGTCTGGGGCCAGGGAGCAGGTGGGAGAGGCCCCAGATCAGCCCCAGACCTGACACCCAGCCCCTGAGCTGCTCCCCCGCCTGGGGCCCCAGTCCTGGGCCCCTTCCTTTCCCTTCTCTGAGATGACAGCCTGGGCTGACTCCCGGCACAGTGCTCTGTGGGTCATTCACTCAGTCAGCAGAGGAACTGGGCTGGGCTGCCTGCCTGCCATCCTCATCAGGTGGCTCCTTTTACCCAAATACACTCATTCCAGATTCCAGATTCCAGGCTTACTGGAATTGCATGACCCCAATTAGGCGATTGACACTGTTCTAGCTCCTTCATTAAGCCAGGAAAGCACAGTCCGTCCATTCCACAGGGAAAATTAGTGGATGGATGAGTAGCTCTGTGACCACAAGCTCCCTAACAGAATGAGGTAACAGGACGCAATTTCCCTTGGAAGTATTCCGCACTGGGGATGGGGGAGGGAGACTCATTCATTTGCCTTGGGTTCTATTTTTAAGACCTGGATTGAATCTTCGGTCATTAATGTGATTTGAGGCTGTCTGCACTCTGCTCCCATAAAATCCCGGAAACGCTGGGGTGGGGAGGGGGCATCGCTGCCCTCAGTGTCCCCACTCTGCCCCCAGCCGGCAGTCCCGGGCCACACTCTAGGCCACAGGCCACAGGCACAGGGCCCCGCCCAGCACAGGCCTGTCCTGTTTCTATCTGCTGCCGACCAGAAACACTTCCCTGATTCTGGACATTCTGGGGCACCTCCCCAACACTGTCCATATCCGAGTGTGGCCTGAGTGCCGGCTACTCCACGTCCTTCACCCCAGGCTTCGAGTGACCCGCTGTTTCCACTCTGTCTCAGCTAAACCAGGCTAGCCATGAAATGAGTTGTCTGAAGGGCTCATTTCTTTTCCAAGGCATATTAAAATAAGCAGGTAACTACTAAAACAAAAAATGTTCATCTATGCAACCCCGAAATCATCAAGGGACTTGAATTTAGGGCTTTGACGCTGCACTAATTCTGAGCATTTGAATCACATGTCACCTTTCCAAAGTGTTTCCAAAACCCATCAATAGCTGAGGGATAGTCTGTCTTGTTCTACAAACAGGGAAACAGATGGTAGGCTCTCCCGCCTCATCATGACCTGTAAACAGTGGGGCAGGCTCAAGCCTCAAGGGCAGGCCAAGGCCAGCACTGTCTCCCAGGGCCCCTCCCACCTGGGAGTCCTGGCTGACACTCCCCCTCCTCCCAGACTTCCTGGCCGGGTGTGCTTTGGGGACGGGTAGGGTGCCTCTCCCTGCCTTCCCAGCTGCAGCCCCTCAACTGCCGGCCTGGCCTGCCCTACCAGTGCCTGGAACCCACTCTTTCAGCCCCTGTCCCTCCTCCCTTCACAGCAGCTGGGCCCCCTTATGCCCAGGAAAGCCTACACTGGGTTCCCTGTCCTAACTGGGCCCTGACACCCTGCCCCTACACCCTGTCTTACTGTCCCGTTGCTGGAATGGACCCCGCCCCCACCCTGCCCCAGGCACCTGCTCTGCGGGAATCTCTCTGATGAGGGGATTTCACAAATGGAATTCAGGATCTAATCAGTTGGTCTTGAGTTAATCAAAAGGGAGGTGGCCAGGGGTAGGCCTTTCCCAAAGGGTCTAGAAGCCAGAGAGACCTGAAGCCGAAGCCGCGGAGCCGCCTGCTAAGCGGCGGGGAGGCTGCCAGGAGCTGCGCATCAAAGACCTGCGTCCCGCCCAAGACCCGAAAACATGGAGGACCCGGCCTCGGGTGAGCTCACACCCAGCAGGCACCTGGATTCCAGCCTGGGGAGTCCCTGAGCAAAGACCCCGCCCCCATCCAGCCTCCTGGCCACGGAAACTGTCATGTAATAAGTTTGTGTAGTTTGAGCCGCTAAGTTTGTGGGAATTTGTTACACAGCAGAAGGAAACTAATATGCTTTGCTTCCCAGTCCGCAGACTCTTTACAATTTTGCTCTTTAAACATCCTGGCCTGTTCTGCCAAGACGGGAGGAGTCGCTTTTTTCTGCCATGGGACGCTGCACACGTCCAGCCCTCCATCTCTCCGTTGGAAGCAAACTGTCCCATCGGCTCCATGCCCTCCCTCCTTCGTGCAGTCACTCCACCTGGAGCAGGTCCGGCCAGGCACTGGGATGCAGCAGTGATCAGGACATGTGGCCACCGGGACAGAGGGCCACAGTGCCCGAGAGCCTGGCCTCAGAACCATCAGGGAGTTTCTGAAAACAGACTTCCCTTGGGGAGATGGGCTCTGGGGTAAGTCTGGAATCCCACGGGGTTGCACCTGCCCCATGGCCTCTAGTGCACAGAGCACTGAGGTGTGTCCCCACCTGCCCTGCCACTGCAGCCCAGCCTGTGAGTGGGGGCCACCCTCTCTGAGGACTCTCAGGCCCCACCCAGCCATCTGAAGAGCTGGCTGACTCCTCCAGGCCTCAGTCACAACACTTCTTCAGCCAGGACCCTGCCTACACCCCACCCACCCAGACCACCTTCCAGGGACCACCCCTGCCCCTCCAGGTGCCTCCTAGCCCAGCCTGGGAGCACCGCCAAGTCAAGAAAGATTCCTGATTGACAGCCGCACTCTGAGGTCAGGATGCAGCTTCTCAGCCTGGCTGTGCTGTCACACGGGAGCGGAGGGAAAGCTGGGAGCCACCGTCTGTAAGAAACTGACTTCCTCCAGCTACCCCAGGAGGACGCCCAGGGCCTGGGTTCCCAGAATAAACCAGACAGTGCTTTGCTGCTGTCTACACGCCTGGAGCTGGGCTGTGGATGGGCCTGTCCTCTGGTCTCCTAGGTACACACAGCGCTGGGCTGGGGCCTGGAGGAGGGAGGATGGCCCCTGCCACCACCCTCTACTCTCTGCCTTGAAAAGGGGTAGATGACAGGGGCGGACCTCCAGGGTCAGGTAGATCACAGGCTGGGCTGCTGGACCAGCAGGGAGGTGATGGGAAGTGCTGAAGGAAGCCTTGGGGTTTCTAGTGCAAGATGAGATTTGGCAGGAAGTGAGAACTCAGCAAAGGCTCAGAGCAACTCCCAGGGGCACGGCTGGCAGGAGGGGCTTGGTCGAGGCAGCTGCCTTGTGGCACTGGCCAGTATTTCTGGGCAGTCACCTGGCCTGGCCCAGTTGTCCCTGGAACCGTGAGGGCTGTGGGCTCCATCCCACTCCTCCTGCTTTGTGTGGCCCTGATAGTGGCCCCGGCATGCTCTGGGGAGTGGGGGTGGGGGTGGAACAGCTCAGCGTGCCAGCCCTGGGCTGAGTCTCAACCCTCTCCAGCCCTCTGCCTGTCCTCTGCCTCGCTGTTCCTGTGGGGGGCTCCGAGCTCCAAGCAGTTCAGTCCATCAGTGCCAGCCCTCTCCCTCCCGGCTGGCAGGGAGTGCGGATGCCTGGGGTCTGGAAGGCACAGGCCCCCACGGTCCTGCAGATGCAGCCAGAGCCCCATCCCAGGTAAGGAGGGACACTCTGCCAGTGGCCCAAGAGACAGCAGGGGTGGGAGAGAGGCTCATCTCCCGTCTCCTGACATCTCATGCCCATGAACCCAGCCTGGGTGGTGCCAGTGCCTGACAGGTTCCTCTGGCCTAAATGAATGGAGTCTTTTCTCCCCAAGCCATCACAGAGCTGGAGGCTGCCTGTTCTCCCACCCTTGCTTGTCTGGGCTCCCTGAGCTGTAAAGCCTCAGGCCAACCATTGCTTCTTGCCAAGCCTCACTTCCTCCATCTGCACAATGGGACGCTTCTCTACCCGGAGTCTACGAATATGAACATACTCCCCGGGGCCGGAGAGCCAAGGAGCTTGTCAGCACACAGGCTATGCAGACCCACAGCCCTGAGGTGGGGACACGGGCCAAGCTCCTTGCCCTCCGAGGGGTTAAAAGGCCTCTCTGGGGAAGCCTCTTCACATCATTCAACCCAAGGCAGGTGCTAGGGGACCCACCCCTCTGAGGACCACAACCCTGGGATACCCATCCAGGCCTACAGACAAAGGGCCAAGAAGCAAAGGCCGGGAGCCAGGGGTCCAGTGCAGATGGCTGAGCTCAGTGGGACCCTGACCACGCTGCTCATCCGCCAGAAGGCCAAGCGCACGATGATGATGGGAAGGCAGCAAGGGTGCCTGGCCACGGAGGGGGAAGGCCTGGGCCACCCTCAGTGAGTATGTGAGGGGCCTGGCCACCAGCTAGGCCTGCCCCAGCTCCGCACGTGCTGGCATGGAGCATCTGCTGGCCCCTTCCTGTGTGTACCCAGTGCCTGCAGGCCAGGCTGGTCTGGGGCAGATGGGGCCAAGGGCAACAAGGAGAGCAAGGCTGCACGTGCCCCGTCCAAAGGAGTGGAGCTGAGCCTCGGCCCCAGTGAGTGCTCCACGTGGGGTGTGGCCAGTCACACACAGGCTTTCTGCTATGTCCCAACAAGTCAAAACTGGCACAGTTAGTTTCTCATTTTTTCAGGAACCACGTGGTCCACGTTTAGTCCATGAGCGGCCATGTGCAATGATTCTCAGGGCACTGTGGGAGGTGAGACCAGGGGCCCAGAGATGAGGCCAGCTGCCTGGCATAGCCCGCATCTCCAGGTCGCCTGCGGCCATCACATTACACGCAGGAGGGCCGTGTCCAGCCTGGTATCTGGGCAGACAAATTTCCTCCCAAGTGCAGTGGGCTGTGCCTCATCTACTTCCAGCTCCTCTGTTCTGATCGCTTCATTTGATGGCAGGGAGGTGCCTGCCCCAAGTCCAGAGATGGGCAAGGAAGCTTTTTTTTTTTTTTTTTTAAATTTGAGATGGGATCTCGTCCTGCTGCTCAGCCTGGAGTGCAGTGGTGTAATCTCAGCTCACTGCAACCTCTGCTTGCCAGGTTCAAGTAATTCTCCTGCCCCAGCCTCCCAGGTAGCTAGGAATACAGGCACACACCACCATGCCCATCTAATTTTTGTATTTTTAGTACAGACAGTGTTTCACCATGTTGGCCAGGGTGGTCTCAAACTTCTGACCTCAGGTGATCTGCCCACCTCGGCCTCCCAAAGTGCTAGGATTACAGGTGTAAGCCACAGAGCCCAGCCTCAAAGAAGCTTTCAAGCCTAACCTGGAGAGACGGTCAGGCCTGAACCCCGAGGGCTCCCAACCCGGCATCTGCCTTCTGACCGTGCACTTCCTGTAGGGGACTCCTAAAACGGCTTTGGCTGCACAGCAGAGGTCGGGATGTGACCTTGGGACAATCCAGGTATTGTCCCTTGTCCCCCATCACAACCCCCCATTCCTGAGGTCACTGGAGCTCCTCGGCTGGCTGGAGTTTAAATGGCCGGGAGGGGTAAGGTGGCTCACTGTGCCAGGTGGCTTTGAGAGCGGACCCCTGCGTGCTCAGACTCGAGGCTCCCGCATGGTGAGGGACGAGGGACCACGAGCAGCAGCCCTCCCGCTAGCCCAGGGGTTGGGCTCTCCAGGGAGAGGGCCGTGCTTACCAGTGTGAACGCAGGACGGTCAGGAGCAGGATGGTAATGCTAAGGGAGTAGCAGGCCAGGTAGGGGGACCTGAAGGCCCTGCTCAGCTTGCGGGTCTTGTGTTCCCATCGTGCAACCTAAACCATGGGCAGAGAACAAGAGAGAGATGTTTGCCGGGGAGACTCCAGGGCAGAGGTGGGGAGCGCATGCCGCTCTCTGCATTCCCGAGGAAGGAGAATTACACGGAAGCAACCGCCAGGTGCACCTCAGCCAAGAATGATCTGCCCTAGAGCAAGTTCCAGAGGGATTTTCATACTTACTCAGTTCATCTGGACAGACAACGTCCTTCTGGAAACAACCATTCAACCAGACACAGCCTTGAACCCACCAAGAGGCAGAAAGAGATGTCTGGCTGAGAAGACCGATCCCTGGGGCAGTCACATGGGCTCTGACCTCAGGTCCTGCCTGGAGCTGCCCAGTGTCCTGCAGTAGCCCCAGCAGAACTGCCAGAGGCGCCCAGGACGGCAGGCCTTCACGAGCACAGGCCCAGATTCCCGCTGGGGCCTCACCAAGTGTCCACCATGGGGGCAAAGCGAAGAAAAGAAAACCCCTCACCCTCCTCCCTCTGCCCGAGTGCTCCTCCCACGGCACAGACTTTCAACGGTGGCTTTTACCCTCAGAATCCTTTTACTTTGTTTTTTCAAACTGATCACATCTGGAATCTCAACATCTGGCCACCAACAGTGGAGAGAAGGGAGCTCTTCCTGCCTCTCTGCTGTCTCCACAGTCCAGAGCTGGTCACTGCCAGGGCCTGGCCCAGGACACTGAGGACGGAGCGGAAAGAAGGGAGGGCGGGGCAAGGAGGATGCAAAAGACAAGCATGCAGCCTGGAGCCGGGGCTGGGCTCCAGTCACGCGAGCAAGCTGCCTGCGGGCCAGAACAGGCGCCTGTGTGCGCAGGAAGGGTCTCAGGGGCCTGCTCCCAGCGGAGGTGCCATGCGCCACCTGTCTCCACCCCAGCCCCAGCCGTGACTGCTGCCTGCTCCACTTCCCAAAGGGACCTGTCTTTCCCAGCAGTTGCGGCAGAAGAGTGATTCGCGATCATTTGCCCCAAGGCCACCGACTCCCAGGAAGTGGCTCCCCAGTGAGTCCTCTGGCCAGACCTGGGCCCTGTCCTCAGAGCTCCTTGGCAGTGGCAGGCTGGGGCGGGGGGAGGCGGGTGGGGGGACGCCAAAGTTTACAGGAAGGAGAGGTGAGGGAGGTAGCTCTGGGCCGTCCCCTCAATCAGCTGTTGGCACTGCTACGAATTCTCCCAGAAGGTAAGCAGGCCCTAGTCCAGCTCTCAGCAGGTGGCCGCTGCTGACTTCGGGAGGCTCAAAGGGAAGAAGAAATGAGCGCTTCTGGGGAGGGTGGGCTGGGGCTGCAGTGACCTGGCTGGGAATGTGTGGGGTGGGGGTGGGGGCAGAAGAGAAGCAGCCTGCAGAGGGCACCTCGGGCCCAGGACCACCACCTGCTCTGTTTTGTTTCTTTCCAGTTTCGAGATAAAACTCAAAGTAGTTTCTAGTTGGGCAACCACCACCAGAACATTTCACCACCGCAGTAGAAGCCCCGCCCCCACTGGCAGCCCCTCCCCATTCCCCTCGCCCGGCCCTGGCCACCACTCACTGCTTTCTGTCTTTATGGATTCTCCTGTTCTGGACATTTCATATAAATGGAATCACACGCTGCATGGTCTTTTGTGTCTGGCTGCTTTGACTTCATGTAACGTTCTCAAGGTTCGTCCATGCCACAGCGTGTAATTCCCTCTTACGGCTGAATGCGACTCCAGTATGTAAAGATTTTGTCCCCTTGATCAGCAGCTGCTGGACACCTGTGCTGTTTTAGCAGCACTGTCCGCAGTGGCCACAGGCAAAGCCAAGCAGCACTCTGGCACTTGCTAGGAACACCCGTGCCCAAGTATTTTGTGGACGTGAGTTTCCATTGCTATTAGGTATACACCTAGGAGTGGAATTGCTGGGTCATAGGGTAAACTATTTTCATTTATTGAAGAGCTGCAAAACTGTTTTCCACAGTGGCTGCCCCATTTTCCAGCCCCACTAGCAACACATGAAGATTCCAGTTTCTCCACATCCTCCCCAATGCCTGTTATTTTCCGACAGTTATAGCCTTCAGGGTAGGGGACACTGGGCGCGGTGGTTCACACCTATAATCCCAGCCCTTTGGGAGCATGAGCTCAGGAGCTCAAGACCAGCCTGGGAGACATAGTTGAGACCCTGTCTCTCTCTAAAAAAAATTAAATTAGCCACAGGATTGCCTGAGCTCAGAAGGTCGAGGCTGCAGTGAGCCAAGATCACGCACGACTGAACCCCAGCCTGGAAGACAGAGAAAGACCCTACCTCAAAAAAAAAAAAAAAAAAAAAAATTGTAATCAGGTGGCTTTGGTTTGCATTTCCCTAATGATAAATACCTGCCTGGGTGAGGTGGCTCTTGCCTGTAATACCAACACTTTGGGAGGCCGAGGCGGGTGGATCACCTGAGGTCAGAAGATAGAGACCAGCCTGGCCAACATGGTGAAACACCGTCTCTACTAAAAATGCAAATATTAGCCAGGCGTGGTGTGGGAGCCTGTAGACCCAGCTACTCAGGAGGCTGAGGCAGAAGAATCGCTTGAACCCAGGAGGCGGAGGTGGCAGTGAGCCAAGATCACACCACTGTACTCCAACCTGACAGAGCGAGACTCCATCTCAAAAAAAAAAAAAAACAAAAAACTACTTTTCCTTCAAGGGCTCTCTCAGGAACACTCTGCCATCCTCAGCCTCCCACAGCACTCCCCACCCCCGCCCCGCTCCCCCGACAACAGAGCTAGGCCACACCTGTCCCTTAGCCTCGGAAAGGGCCAGTGCTACATGAGCTTTCAGAGCAATCTAACAATAACAGAAAAGCATCGAGCAAGACCAGCCCACGTGGGAAAGAAAAAGGGAAACACGCTGTGGCTGGTACTGGATGCGGTTGTGATTCCGAGGCAGTGGATAAACCGGCAGCCAGCGGGACTCCCAGAACTTCCCTCCCTGACTGGCGGCACCCACCGTGCCCTCTCTGGGAGCCCTGCTGCTGTTTTCATCCAACAATGAGCAGGTGCCAGGACACAGAGGCCTCCCAGGGCTGTGTGTGCAAGCCCGTGGTGGACGGTGGAGTGGCCCGGCACTCTGCTGTCACTGATCCTGGTTTTTGCCTGTCTTCTAGATTTCCAGAATCCTAAAGCGGGGATTCATTTGCCCAACCCTCTGCACCCCTTGCCCAAATTCTCTCTCCCCGGGGTTGCTAGGATCCTCCAGGTAAATGTAAGCTTCAGATAAACAACAAACTGGCTGGGCACCGTGGCTCACGCCTGTAATCCAGCACTCTGGGAGGCCGAGGTGGGCGGATCATGAGGTCAGTAGTTCGAGACCAGCCTGGGCAACATGGTGAAACCCCATCTCTACTAAAAATACAAAATTCAGGCCGGCCGTGGTGGCTCACGCCTGTAATCCAAGCACTTTGGACGCCAAGGCGGGCAGATCACCTGAGGTCAGGAATTCAAGACCAGCCTGACCAATATAGTGAAACCCCATCTTAAAAAAAAAAAAAAAAAAAAAAAAAATTAGCCGGGCATGGTGGCGCGTTCCTGTAGTCCCAGCTACTAGGGAGGCTGTGGCAGGATAATCCCTTGAATCTGGAGGCAGAGGTTGCAGTGAGCCGAGATCTCGCCACTGCACTCCAGCCTGGGCAACAGCAAGACTCCATATCAAAAAACCAGTGAACAAACAAAACAACCATGTTTTGGTGTAAGTTGTCTCATGGACCATGGACTGCTTTTCATCCTAAAACAGTCATGTGCTGTTGACCTGGAATCCTGATATGTACCCAGGCCCTGCGTGTATGTTTGCTCCACCCAGCAGCCCGACCTCTCCCACACCCTGGCCACGAGTCCCCAGCTCTGCTCTGAAACACACAGGTCTCCTTCCCACATGCTGACTCCTTTTCTTTTCTTTTTTTGCAAATCTCACCCACAGCCTCTACCTTAGGGCAGAAGAGACAGGCGCAAGGCAAGTGTAGCGGGAGGAAAACAGGGGCGGGGTCGAGGCCCAGGGACACCATCCTGGCCTTGACACTCACCAACAGCCGACGGCACTTCACAGGCAAATCACTCAGCTGCCCAATACGTCAACTGAGTCAGCTGCAAAGTAGGAAAAACAGGATGTACAGTACTCCCCACCCAATCCCCCTGCCAGTGTGGTGGGAGGGGCAGAGCAGGCGAGGGATGAAAGGCTCCCGGCCCCGGCATGTGGCCCAGGGCACGTGAGAACTCCCATCTCTCCATCTCTCTGCAGCTCAGAGCAGGGACTACATCTGATTTCCTTCTGGGTCCCACTCGGTGGGAACCGCCTCTGCCCATGCCCATGGTGCCCGTCCAGCTTGAGGTGGCAACTCCAGCCTCTGCCTCCACGCCAGGACCCAGGCTTCCTCCCTGCCCTTTCCTGGGCTCTATTCTTGGCATCCTTGGACTCAGAGGTTGTAGCTGGCAGCCCAAGATGTGTTCTGGTCAAACTCACAGCATGTTTAAACTACTTGGACCAACAATGAAACACTCAGCGTCTTTCACATGAAAGCCAAGGCTTCCACTTGTGGTGAAAAGTCTTGAAAATGAGCACAGCCTCCAGCCTGCAAGGCCCCCACCAGCCCAGCTATGCAGTGAGCATCCAAGAATCGGGACTCCCTTCTGGGGACAAGACCCTTTTCTGGAGACTTCCTATTTTCCTTTCAAATTTCCTATGTGTCCTTGAAGTGAGGCTGCAGAGGGCAGAGTTTTTTAATCCCCTTTTGAAGTGAGACAAGGCTCCTTCCAACTCACTGAAGGACTGATGGGCGAATGTCCCCCCGCACCCAGCAGGGCAGCTCACTGCTCCCAGAGCCGGGGTCTGTGCTCAAGCACCAGCTCCTCAACTTGCACCTGGGGCAGGTGATTTCCCCTCTCTCTGTTTCCTGATCTGTAAAATGGAGCTAATAATAGTCTCTACTGCCTCACAGAGCTGCTGTGCTGATTAAGTGAATTCTGCCCATCAAATACCTGGAGCAATATCTACGCCATGGCGTGGATGGCAGTGCTGCTGTTTTGTTTTGTTTTGAAGTGGGCAAAGGGTAGGAGAGGCATCAGGCCGCGCTATTGGCCTGACGGGCCCCGGCAAAGCTGATGAGGAAAGTCTGTTGTGAAGCAATGTCCCCAGGGAGAAGACAGGCAGACAGACCCCTGCCACACTGGGCTTGCCAGCCGCCAGGCCTCTCCCTCTGCCGCCGGCATCGACTGACTCTCAGAAGCTCCTCCTCTTCCGCCTGGTCTTTCCCTGGCTAAATGTGCCTACCACCCAGCTGCAGTGGCAGGTCCCATCTGGATTCCACAGCCAGGACTCCCACTGGGTCCAGGGCTCCCAGCCTGGGCACCTGGGGGTCTAGAATGCCCCAAGCAAAGGGTTAGTGCTTCGCATTGGTAACGAATGCTGGGGAGGAGCCGGCATTTCCACGAGATTTGCAAAGGGCCCACGGAACCACTGAAGGAGCACGTCCCTTTCGTTCAGAGGACGTGGGCCGTGCACCAGCACAGAGGGACTCCTGTGATCCAAGCTTCCCTCTGCCTTCCTGCTTTTGCCTCCCGAGCCCCCCGCACCCCGCTCCTACAGCTGGACTCACCCCTCCACCAGCCTGACTGGCCCCCTTTCCAGTCCCAGGAGCCTTGGCCAGTGCCTTCTCACTCCTGAACTCCTGCCTCGCAGCCCCGGTGGGACATGGCCGCGGCCTAACAGTTCACACTGCAGCCGCCTCTGCCTGTACCATGCTGAATCCCGGAAGGGCTGCTGCTGAGGAGGCGCTCAACAAGCCTGGGTCTGCGTGGAATGATCAGTGCGCCAAGGCCTTCTCTCCTCTCCTCTTTCCCTTACCCTGCAGGGAGCCAGGAAGCGAGTGGGCCACTAGCTGGGCTCCATGAAGAGAGGAGGGGCCCTAAGGCTCCCAGGGTATATGTAGGTGACATACAGGGGTCTGAGTGAGAGGTCCCCGGGGCAGCAGGCAGCCTGCCCATGACTCCTGGCTCTCCCTCATCCCACCCTGGCCCCCCAGAACCACAGGCTCCAATGAGAGGTCAGGGACCTCAGAGGCGGCAGAGCCCAGCCCTCCACCAGCCTTCCAAACAAACTCAGGGTTCCCTGGCATCAGGAGGCAGGATTCGGAATCTCTCAGGCCCACTGGAGTTGACAAGGATGGCTGAGGCTGCCAAGGCCACCAGGTACCCCCTAGGCCAGCCCCAATGGCCCAGGCCCAGCAGCATGAGGACAGCTCATCAAGGTGTTTCCTCCCCAGCCACAGATCAAGGTCACTGTGATAGTGTCACATAAGTCCCCTGCACATGCCAAGTGCTGTCCACACCACGCATCCCAGCGGGGCCTGGACCCCTCTCCCTTCTCACCAGAGCTCATGATGAACAGGGTGCATGTGTGAAAGTTCAGCAGAGCCCAGCACAGGACCCAGCCACTGCCAGTGGGCTGCGCTCAAGCAGCCCAGGCAGGCCCTGGACCAGCGGGCCAGTGTGTATATGAGCAGGTGGCTCTCCCCGGCCACACCGTGTCAGCCCCCTCTGCCCTGCACATGCCAGGCCCAGCCAGCCCGGTGACCTGGATCACACCTGCCCTTCCCAACACCCAGCTCCACCCTGCCCTGGAGGGTGTGCACAGCCCTGGCTCCTTTCAGATCTGCCCCAATCTGGCCAGTGCCACTGAGCCTGGGCGAGGCCCTCTCCAGGACACAGGACCAGCAGCAGCTCAGGCCAGCATCCAAAGCGCCCCGCGGCACATGGCTCAAGTGCCTTTCCACGTGACACAGCCTGCCCGAGGCCTCCAACAATCATTACCTGCCAGCTAGTCGAGTGAATCAATCACTGTCCAAGGTACACCTGAGCTCTGGCCCTGCGGTGGATGCCCTTTTCACTGCAGTGCAGAAGAGCAGGTCTCAGCGCCAGCTGCCCGCTCCCAGGCAAAAGGTGCGCGGCGGCGCTGTGAGGAGAAGCTCCCTGAGGACGGGCAGCTGGACGCCGCCACCACGGACCCGCCAGCCCCGGCCGGCGCCGGAGCTGCAGCGCCACCTGTAGGCCAAGGAGTTTTCTCCGGGAGGCGGGGGCCTGTGCGGCAGGTGCAGTGACGTCACAGGTGCCCGAGCCGGTGCGGTGACGTCACACGCGCTGGCTTGGCGGCGGTCGCGTGGCGTTACCCGCGAGGCTTGGCGGCGGTCGCTTGGCGTTACCCGTGAGGCTTGGCGGCGGTCGCTTGGCGTTACCCGTGAGGCTTAGCGGCGGTCGTTTGGCTTGGCGGCGGTCGCTTGGCGTTACCCGTGAGGCTTGGCGGCGGTCGCTTGGCTTGGCGGCGGTCGCTTGGCGTTACCCGTGAGGCTTGGCGGCGGTCGCTTGGCTTGGCGGTGGTCGCTTGGCGTTACCCGTGAGGCTTGGCGGTGGTCGCTTGGCGTTACCCGTGAGGCTTGGCGGTGGTCGCTTGGCTTGGCGGTGGTCGCTTGGCGTTATCCGTGAGGCTTGGCGGTGGTCGCTTGGCGTTATCCGTGAGGCTTGGCGGTGGTCGCTTGGCGTTACCCGTGAGGCTTGCGACGGTCGCTTGGCGTTACCCGTGAGGCTTGCGGCGGTCGCTTGGCTTGGCGGTGGTCGCTTGGCGTTACCCGCGAGGCTTGGCGGTGGTCGCTTGGCCTGACAATTCTTAGTTGGCTTGGCGGTGCTCCTTTCACTGATTGGAAACCTCGGGCGTTCCTGCTGGGAGGTTGTGGCCAAGGCAGTCACTCGCTACTGTTGGCCTCCTGGGGCGGAGAAAAGCGGGGAGGGGCGGGGAAGGGCGGGGAAGGGCGGGGAGGGGCTGAGGGGTCTCCGGAGGCGGCAGTCCCCGCCATGAGGAAGACATTTAGAGGCGGGATCCCCGAGGACCCTTGGTCCTCGGGCTCCCTCACCAGCTGCGAGAGCGACAGCTTGGGCGGCGGAAGCCCCTTCGCCCCGCCTCGGTACCGCGTCCACCTGGAAGATCTCGACGAGCTCCACAGAGCTGCCTGGCGGGGCGACGTCCCCGGGGTGGAGCGCGTCCTGGTGCCCGGAGGCCCTGGCGTGGACAAGAGGGACAAGAAGAACAGGTAATGCCCAGAATATCACTGTGAACCGCTACTATTTTAATTCCTATTTTATTGATGAGGAAACTGAGGCCCAAAAAGGCCAACAGAAAGTGACAGATCTTAAAGTAGGATTTCAGCTGGAGGTGAACTGAATCCAGAGGCGAAGCGTTTTCTATTCAAATAAGCTACATTTCATTAATGTAGTGAATAATAAGAGCTGGTAAATACCGTGCTTCCTTCACAGGAAAGTTAAATACTTGTTTTAAAGACAGAGGACTAACATTCTATCCAGTGCTAAGGATATATGTGAATCATTGTATGTTTTCAGATAGTACAGTGCAGCTTCCTAAAAAGCCTTCTTACTCTCATAGGACGGCTCTGCATTTGGCATGTGTCAGTGGACATCCAGCAGTGGTAGCTCTCCTGGTGGACAGAAAATGTCAACTTAATTGCTTTGACAGCTATAAGAGGACAGCTCTGATAAAGGTATATAGTAACCAAGTACATCAGCATGAGATGGATCTGATTATGTACAATTACTGAGAACCAGCTTGGCGGTAGAGACTCCCAGAAATGGGAGGCAGACACCCAGATAGAACAGCAAAGTGGGTCTATTGGGGGACCAGCAGCCTTCCAAACTGAGAAGCTCAGGGGCTGACAACATTCCAGGCTGAAGGCCCCAGGTAGACTCTGACCCATGCAGTTAATCTCTCTGAACAGGTGTTCAGTATTTTCTCATAACACAAAACACACCAAGTAGGCAGCTGGTGCCCACTTACCACTGATGGAACAACCTAAAAAGTATTCTCCATGAAGGAGCCACTGGGGCAGGGTCAGATAGCTTAAAGAATTGTTTTAACAGGTGTATGATATTTACATATTGTCCTGCCACTTTGGAATGCCCCAAGTGGTTTTCTACTGGGGTTGGGGCGATCCTGCTAGGTTTTCCTTGCCATTGTTCTTCCTAGCAAACAATATATTCTATCATATACTTAGCATTCATCAATATTCATAAACTTCACATTTTTCAACAGAATAAACATTTTTATGAATAAACATTTTTATTCATCTCATTTAAATGTAACTCATTAGCAAAACCTCTATTTTGAATTCCTAGCATTTGTAATCTATTTCTTGGTCTAATAATGACAGGCTGTACAATGCCGACAAGAGGAATGTGCAACTATTTTGCTGAAACAGGGTGCTGATCCAGACCTTCCAGATATCTACGGCAACACCGCTCTACACTATGCTGTGCATAATGAGGATCAATCACTGGCAGAAAAACTGCTTTTATATAGTACAAATATGGAGGCAGAAAATGAGGTATAGACCAACCAACTTTATTTTCAAACTATTTAAAATGCATTTGTTTTAACACTGACATGTAACTGTCAGTTTTCCATATTTGGAAGCTCAAGCGCTCCATGAATGAGAATATTTTGAAATAATTATCTAATATTTCAAATCTTGATACTTTTAAAGCAGCATTAGAGGGCACAGCTTTCTTTTATGCACATATGGTAAATATTTTTGAAAACACTGAGTTTGTAAAAGTTAACACTTAAAAATTTTTTTCTTCCTAATTTTTTTTCCTAATCTGCGAAAAACAACACAAGAAAGCAAAATGTGCCCTGGAAATAGACCTTATCTCAAAACTCCAAGAAAAAGCATTTTTCAATAAGTAGAAATCTTTCTGCTATTGACAGGTTCTTAAAAAAAATAACACACATGCAAGCAGTTTAGCTCTCAGTGGCAAAGCTTAGGAGGGCAAAATGGAAAGGGAAAAAAAAGCAACCAGAAATATGGAGGCCAGCTTGGAAGTTAGGTAATTGAGGGAGAATACCAAGGCGACCTTTTTTTAAATGTGTTTTGTTGTTGTTGTTACTGTTTCTTTTTTTCTAGTTTATATGTTTAGACAAGGTTTTCTTCAGTTTTGGGGATAATCGGATCATTGTTTTCAGTTTGGAGGAGAGTGAGTTGTGAACTTGCCTAAGAATCCATTTTAGGAGGACTCTGAGGAAACAAGATTAGCTGCGACTAGGTGGTGATAAAGTAGGAAACAGCCACTTAGATAAGTGTCTGTGCTCAGCCCTCAAATCTAGAACGCGCTGACGGGAAGGTGGGCGATGCGGAGTTTAGAAATAGCAAAATCAAGTTGGATTTTGAGTTTACTAGTCCCTGTGCTACTCCTACCCAGGAAAACTAAATGGAGTTTTTAGTAAATGACTGTCTCTTATTCTTTCCTCTTTTTGACAAAATCCTCAAACGATAAAGGGAACTGGTCATGTGGGTGAGAGATGAGACTGAAGTAATTGTTGTACTAGTTCTCAGCTAGAATTGTGCATCACAGTAACCTGAGGAAATTTAAGAAAAACCTACAAGTCTAAGCTCTTCCCTGAATACTTTTGATATAATAAATCTAATAAAGCCTGAACAAGTTTATGTTTTAAAATATTTCCCTGAAGCCAGGTGTAGTGGTACTTGGCTGACGTCCCTGCTAATTGGGAGACTGAATTGGGAGGATTGCTTGAGCCCCAGAGTTTGAGTCTAGCCTGGGCAACATAGTGAGACCCTGTCTCTAACAACAGCAGTAAATTCCTAAAACTTCAGAAACAGCCCTGGTTAAGAGCCAGTGAACAGATACGTGTAATATGTAAATGCCCATTCTCAGAAACTTAAGAAATCCCTAGAGGAGCTGGAGTTTGATAGGTGCTACTTCCTTTAAATCTGTCTCTTTTCAATACTGTTCTGACTTTTATCTTTCTTTACCTCTGTGGTTGGGAAGTTAAAAGGAATATTATTGGTAATATCTATCAGCTTACAGAATACCTTTTCCTTCCCAACATCATAGCCTTTCAGTAAGCAGAGGCTGACTCCTTTAGGATTTTCTGCCTTTGTTATCATCCAGGTGATTATCGTTTATTGCAAGCAGATTAATCTTTATTACAAGCAGAGTTTTCTCGATTAGAGCTGGCAAACACTTAACCTTTTTTTTTTTTTTTAAATTGAAGCTCTGTTATGGACTATCTCAGTATCTCTGTTAAGTTCACAGAGTTTTAAAATAATCAAGATGGCAGTTTTAAGCACTAAAAACCATGAAATTAGTAAGAGTACAAATATTGATTCTTTTAATAATTTAGTTTCCACAGTCATGTGGACTAATCCATTTGGTTAACAATCTGGGAAAAATAAATACAAGTAGATTTTAATTGAATAAATATTGGAAAAATTCTTGAAGTGTCAGTATTTTGGGCCTGTGAGTATTTTTTTTTTTTTTGTTGAAGCAACAGGGTCTCACTATGTTGCTCAGGCTGGTCTCAGACTCTGGGCTCACGTGATCCTTTTGCCTTGGCCTCCCAGAGTGCTGGACTTGCAGGTGTGAACAACTGTGAGTTTTAATAGCACTTTTTATTACATGTTAGGGCCTGATTTGTTTTGGTAAGACATCTGAAATTAAAGGAAATATTTTACATGCAAATACTTTACACACAACCATTTTGAAACATATCTATAACAAGTATAAAAACACAAGGGCTGTAGTCTAAATGTGGCCCGCAGATATATTAAATTTTCCTCCACAAATTGTGTAAATGTGTAAAATTTAGGAGACTCATGCACAAATCTGGATTTTAGGCTTCTCTTTAAGAATCAAGCCTGTTGGCCGGGCGCGGTGGCTCAAGCCTGTAATCCCAGCACTTTGGGAGGCCGAGGCGGGTGGATCACGAGCTCAAGAGATCGAGACCATCCCGGTCAACATGGTGAAACCCCGTCTCTACTAAAAATACAAAAAATCAGCTGGGCATGGTGGCGTGTGCCTGTAATCCCAGCTACTCAGGAGGCTGAGGCAGGAGAATTGCCTGAACCCAGGAGGCGGAGGTTGCGGTGAGCCGAGATCGCGCCATTGCACTCCAGCCTGGGTAACAAGAGCGAAACTCC